TTTCTCCGTTTTGGGTGTCTGCGTGTGGACAGACAAAACCGGAGTTTTAAGGTCCGCAACGTCACTTTCCGCGACAGAAAAATGCTGACATCACGTGTGCGACCTGTGTTTACACTAGCCGACAGCATGGATGCCCTCAGAGCTGCACTCGCTTCATCAATTGTCCAAGCGCTTTTTGCTTGTTTGTTTTTGCAAGCGGAATTACTGCTCCTTGCGGAAGACCACAGACGAAGGACGAGGTTAAGAACGGGGGAAGTACTGCCGCCTACAGGTCTGGCATGTCCTTAACAACGTATTTATCCGGGTACGTGTGGACAGAGTTTTGTTTTAAACGAGGTGGTGTGGATGCAAGTTTTTGGAGGGGCGGATATTCGTTTAAAAAAAAACAGCTACGTGTGGACTAGGCCTAAGGGGGTTTCAGAATCGATCCAGGTTCAGGTTTTTTTCTGTAAAGGAGGGAAATGGTCCCGCTGCATGCATAACTGTATTAGATTCCGCTGCAGAGGAGCTCCTGCTGGTTTTTTGTCTGCTTGCCTTTATTTGCACTTTAAAAAAAAGTATTTTTTTTAATTAGATGTTTTGATCAAGTGTTAATTGTGTCCTAAAACAAGATGAAACCAGATTTTGAAAAGCTTTCAGTAAATATTAATGATGTGCATTTCACAATAATAATAGTTTGAGGTTACTTATTATTCAACCTCTACTATAATTTGCACTCACACACTCGTGTGTAAAACGATGTATAGCACGTCTGTTTTTCCTTTTGTTGATGCAACGTTAATTACAAGTGTGAAGACAACCACAAATAGTTTCTTATGCTGCTAAATAAATGAATAAAATGAAGCTCTCAGTTGAACCTAAGACCCACATGCCAACAGTCTGTTAGCAACATTCATAAAGGAGTGTTCTCATATTTCTCAGTCGTTGGAATTTAGAGCATTTTTGTGAAATTTGTGCGACAGGTTTTGTCTCACAATGATCAGAGTTGTCACTAGTGTCTTGAAATGTGGGAAACGGAGGGTAAACTGGAAACTACCTCAGATGTCCAACATGGCCCATCCATAACTAGTAGAAGTTGTGTACTTAAAGAGCAAGTCAACCCCTACCAGAGTCTAACTCCACTCCCACTTCATGTTTGAAAAATGCAACAAATGCTGTTGCCTGGCAGACCGAGAGGGCGGAGCTGCTAACAAATACACACACACATTGGCTCACAACAGCATTGTGACATCATAATGTACCAGTTTACATCATAGCATACCTCTTAGCCAATAGCGGTGGCAGATTTATATTAAAATACAGTGCAGAGTTTTTACCTGACAACGGCACAACACTGCCAGTTTCAGGCAGAATATTTAAATTTTAACTTACCCCCAAATTCCACTACCTCCGCTCCGCTCCGGCACGAACTCCGCAGCAAAATCGGTCCCGTTGTAGTCAATCAGAGCAATTCCACTACTGCGGCCGTGCTCCGGCAGTGCGGCGCAGTGCGCCGCCCTCTGTTCCGGCGTCCGGCAAAAATAGGATAGATTCTATTTTTGCCGGACGCCGGAGCACCTCCGCAGTCAATGGACAGAAATCACAACTGCCCAACAGGAAAAGGAGCAAGCACAACTTCCGTTTTTCACAATAAATCGATCAACAAAAAGCGTTTTTTGTTTCATATGCACAGGTTTAACAACTTTTAACAACTATCAATGGCGGCTAAACTTTAAATGCACAAAAATAAGCCATAAATACAGTTTCTACTATCAAAGTAGTCGCCCTTTGTTGATCCAAACACTGCTGATCTCTCAACACAAATGATGGGCAGATTAAACAGTTCATTTCGATGCTTCTCCCACACAACGGGTGTTTGGATCTAACTTCCGCGTTTATTGCTCGGACTGTATCGCAAGATCTCGAAAATCCCGCGCATGCTTGTTTGCGCACCTCAGGTCTCCGCACCGGAGCGGAGCCGTTGTAGAGCGGGTACAGTATAATTTGAGTTCGGAAGCGAGCGGCTGCGGAAGTCGGGGGCGGACCGGAGCGGAGCGGAGGTAGTGGAATTTGGGGGTTAGATTCACTGAAGTGCCAAATTATTGACGACACGTGTCTGCAGCACGATTAGACACTCGTTTATTTAGTTTATCAGCAAAAAAAAGTTTATTTGGGGGTGACTTGCTCTTTAACTATTTCAGTCAAATTCCACCTAAATGTTTACTTTTTTATATTATTTTTCATCCGTAATTTTCTCAAAGTTGCAACTCCCATTTTAAAGCCAATGTGGTCTATTTTATCATTTTGCATTAACAAGCATTAAAGTAGTTTCTCTTAGATGTCCTCAGATCCAAATAAAAATGTAACGATAATGAAGCTTTTGGAGTTGCTGCTGTGGAATCGTTTGACTTTTCTTAAACAGTCCACTGAGTCTATCAAGTCTTTAGTACATCTGTTATTTTCTTATTTTTAATTACAAAATTCAAAAAAAGATTTTCTTAGTGTTTCATTTTTATTATTTTATGTTTGTTTCTGATTGTCACTGTTAGACTAACGTCCAAATCACTGTGGCCGTTGTTAACATGCTGCAGAAACCAGCTGCTGTTTCTGTAGGAAAAGTGACGTGTGCTACAAGTTTGGGTGGTACAGACTACTTCCTGTAACTGAAAGCAGGCTTTGGGGATACATGCATTAGTCTTTGCCAATTCTGCTAATCAGACATATTTGTGAGTGTTTAAGTTCGTCTCTCTGGTGGGTTTATGTAAATTTGTGTGCACATAATTTTAAATGTTTATTTCCTTTTCTTTTTTCCCCCCTTTTTTGTGCACATTATTTTGAAAGGAAATGTGTAGCTCACCAGCAGCTAAAGTCTCCATATTGTAGTCCTTTCAAAATAAAACTAAAGTGGCATGGGTAAATTTTTTCCGACACCGTAGAGCAGGGAATTCAAACTCAAACTCACACGGGGCCGAAATGAAACTCTGGGACGGAGTCGTGGGCCAAACTTAATATTTTTTTATAAAGTGAAGGCAAATTTGCACATTTTCTTTATCAACATATATGCAATTTTGAACCTTTAAATTTGGAAACAAACTTATTTCTGCATTAACACTGAATGACACACAAGCAAGTCAGTTTTAAATAAAAGGCATCAGTGGTATATTCATTACTTGTGGTTTATTCAGCATTTTTAAAATCTATTCAGGATTTATGTTTTCTTGTTTGTTCATTTTTCTTATTTTTTATTCTCATTTTTTTCTCCTGTAATACGTGTCATCGCTGCTGTGACATCTAGCTTTCCCCACTGAGGAACAATGAAGGGATTTTCTATTTTATTCATCTATCTGCAGCCTTTCCACTTCCTGTTTACTGTAGGTTAAATCTTTTCTCACGGGCCAACAACAAAATAAAAATATCATTTTATCTTAAATGAAAATGCAACATCTCACCTGTTAACTTTCATGTTTTGGAGCAGAAAAAGAGCAGAAAACCAACATATTTAAAGCTCAGTTTGCTCCACTGGTTTACTGTGATGCTCACCTGTTCCAGCCAGATACCTGCATCATGGGGTTGATCTGAGCTGAGGAGGAGACTCCTGTTTTGTTCATCTTCATCATAATAATGACAACATTAGATGACAACAGGTGCTCACATAGGTTTGTGCTGATGAACATGTCTGAGCAGCTTGACCGCGTTGTTGTGTGTCGGGGAGAAAACACAACCACAGAGCCGTGCTGGTTTGAGCGTGTCGCTGCTCGCTGGAGTTATATCAGCTCTGTCTGGACGTTAGTTGGAAAACTTTCTCTTTCAGTCGTGAACACATTACTGAGCGGCTAGAATCTCCGTTTCTGGGCTTCAACGTCAGAAAACAGCTGAGTGAACTCGGCACTGAGTGAGAGGAGTGTTTAGTTTGTCCGAGACAGCGGAGCTGCAGACACCGGCAGCAGACGCTGGAAAAACACAAAGGAGGGGGCGCGTCGGCTCCACGCTGACGCTGCAAAGCATCATGGGAGTTGAAGTCTTTGCGGTAAAATTGGCCAGCGGGCCAGTTTTAATATATTTTTGATATTTATCTCGCGGGCCACATAAAAATGCTCCGCGGGCCTTGTGTCTGACATATGTGCCGTAGAGGTTAGGGAATTAAGGTCTATAAAACCTGTCAGATGTTTTATTTAATTAGCTTACCTAGGAATGTTGCTGTAACTAATTTACTTTATAAAATTGTTTTAATAAATAATTTATTTATTATTGTATTGTTAGTGCTGTGCAGAATTGTAGATCACATTAAAGACTTGAAACATGTGCTTCAGCTGCTCATAGCACTATGATGCAATTTGATGTAGAAAAAAAAAAGCAAGAACAAAGTAAGCAAGAGGTTAAACAGGCTCCGTAAGGACTGACAAACACACTATTACTCTTTCCTTCTCATTCATGCATTCTTTATAGCTGTCCCTTAAACAGGGCCAGTGTGAATAATTAAGTCCTTTTACAATGAAATATTGACAATAAAGGGCGCACCATATGCATTTAAGTAGCCTTCCTGCGTCCTGTGATGTCATTATACCGTGAATCATGCATGACACTGAAATAATGTTTTTTTTTTCTGCTAAGTTAGTTGGCGAGGAGCTCTGCTGTGCACTGTTCCCTCAGGAAAGGCTGGCAATCCTAATCGGGGGAGGCCAATCATCGCACCCGTTTAGGACTTGTGACTCACTTTGAATTTGTTACAACAGGAAAGTGTGCACAACATGCTCGAGTGCACGCATTTATGCCGTTGATTGAACTGTTTAGAGAAAATTCCTGAGCTCCAAAGCGATGAATGACAGTGGACAAACAGATGAGACGTTAACGTTTAAAAGGCGTCAGAAACACGAGCCACTCGCTCTTTTTAGTGCTGCGTGTGAATAAATGCTCGTGCTCGCGTGTTCACGACATCTTCAGCACACATTTGAGTTTGGGAATCTTTTCAAAAGACTTTCTGTTTTTGTGATCCTAACCTGTGTCTGTTCATCCTCCTCCAGACTTCCGTCCACCTCCCGTGATGCCACCAAATCGAGGAGGACAAGGAGGAGGTTCAGTGGGTGGGGGAGGTTCCTCCTCCTCAACCAGCCGCTCCACCACCACACGTTCTCCTCCCTACTACACCACTCCAAGGCCTCTCCTCACCACCTCCCCCGGCCAGCGGTATCGCACAACCACCACAGTCCGTCAGCCCATCATCCCCGTCGCTGCCGGAGGCTCCCCTTCCGACAACAACCAGATTCCTGACTCCAGTCAGAAAGGGGGGAGATCTCCACCGGTTCAAGTCCCTCCTGCACCTCCACAGCCCCCTGTTATTCTTCCCCAGGACTTCTGCAGTCCAAGGGTGATGGCTGACATATCATGGCCACGCACGCAGCAGGGTCAGACAGCCAAGCAGCCCTGTCATGTAGGGACGCTAGGTAAGGGAGCTGCATACGTTCAAAGCACGCTCGAGCTTCACTTGGAAGTCTGCAGAGAAAATTTTTAGTTATGTTCTGGATAATTTTCTGGCAAAGACGAAAATGTTTTATATATAAAAAGAATATTACAATAATAAACTAAATGTGGAGCCCAACAATAAAAAACACTCAGTATTGTTGTGCATGAATATACAAATACACACAAGTGCATCGTCTGTGTGGGTTTTGTTAGCTGCAAAAGAAAGAGAGCATTGTGTAAAATTTACAGAAAATAAGCTCTGAACAAGTTTTTCAATTCTAATCAATTAGCTTATGTGACAAAAGCAGTTCTCCCAGCTCCGCACAGACAAATCCAAAATGTCAAGCGTCTCGAGAGTCGTCCCGTCTCGTGGAGAATGTCAGGCTTGGCTCACTCTGTTTTGCTTTGCTTGTCTTGAAGGCGTGGCTACATACGTCTGTGTGGCCCATTTGGGCCAATGGGACCCCCAAGGCCCTGATCTCAGCAACTGCACATCACCATGGGTCAACCACATCATGCAGAAGGTAAGTCTGACTGTGCTGCTGGATATCATAGCTCCATGTGAACCCCAGGCTGAAGGGTGTGTGTGTGATGGTTCACATAGCCCTGGAGCAGGTTTTACTTCGCCATGAAGAAGCGTTAGCCATAGGGAGAGATTCAGGCCAAACACATCCATTCTTTAGCCTGAACTTGTGTCGGAGTTCTGAGAGATTCATAGCTTTAGGGAAGTGCAAATGTCTAATAAGGTCATGTATTCACTGTGGGCTTTTGTGGCCAAAGGTCAACCTAATGGTGGTATGCTAAGTTTCATCATGGCTTCAAGGAAAACATCATTGTCTTTGATTCTCAAAGGGCCGCTTGGTGTGAAAGATTTGCGTCAATGTTAAAAGATTCCAAATAAAAAAAGGGTGTGTGTTCCTTTTATTGAAGCTGTTCAGCTTCTCGTATCAGGACCTACTCCCATCTCAAACAGAAATAAACACACATGGACGGACAATGGCAAGATGATATTCCTGCTGTGTGTGGTGTGTTAGGAGTGCTCTGATCATAAATCAGGGATAGTCTACATCTTGAATCGTCTTGCCTCGATTTTGATTAAAAACGCGCATGCTGCTTGTAGAATGTGGCGCGTAGCCAATCAGAAAGCGCGCTGACAGAAGCATGCTGCACACTCCTCCTTTGACATGTTTGATCTCAAGAGGTTTTTCGAGATTTCACATCTGACCGGAGAATGTTTCTGTGTGAAATTGGCTTGTGCATAGTCGTTGCCGTGTGGCTGCACACAAAACATAGAAAGACCGAAACTCTTGCATCTGTGATGTTTTTCATCATCGGCGTAATAGTGATGGCTCATACTTTGAAAATTGTCTGACAATTCTTAAATCCTGCTGTGTCAACCAGGCTTTGAAGTTTAAAGATTAGTGGTTAAAGAGACAACTAAAAGAAGCCATTTTTTATCAAAAGAAGATAAAGGACAACTAACATTTTATTGGTGAAGATCTGAGATCTGCGGGCCGGTGTAGAATCTGGTCCGTAGACCGTTTGACAGCCACCCACACGCTCAGGACTGTGATTAAAACATCTTGCGTGTGGACCAGGACAGCATAGTTTCTTACAACCCTCAAGAGCGAGGAACAGGAGAGCGATTTGCAAACTAGTTTGCATTAAGATCTCATTACAGCCTAAACGCTTGTTAATGATATTTTCTTGAATTAAGAATGTGTCTAAACGTTCCCCCAAACTTCACCGGCGTAATAGTGAATATGAAACAACCAAATGTTGAATAAAAAAAACTTCAGACTTATTTTTCATTCAGATAAGTGTGTTTGGGTTTGGTTTAGTTACTTAAAAGCTTTAGTTTCTGTACTTTGTGAAAATTCAGTTTGGGTTTGTTTTGTGCTCGCTAAAGATTAAGGCCTAGTCCACACGTAGCCGGGTTTTTAAAAAAAACGAATATCCGCCCCTCCAAAAACTTGCATCCACACCACCTCGTTTAAAATAAAACTCTGTCCACACGTACCCGGATAAATACGTTGTTAAGGACATGCCAGACCTGTAGGCGGCAGTAGTTCCCCGTTCTTAACCTCGTCCTTCGTCTGTGGTCTTCCACAAGGAGCAGTAATTCCGCTTGCAAAAACAAACAAGCAAAAAGCGCTTGGACAATTGATAAAGCGAGCGCAGCTCTGAGGGCATCCATGCTGTCGGCTAGTGTAAACACAGGTCGCACACGTGATGTCAGCATTTTTTTGTCGTGGAAAGTGACGTTGCGGACCTTAAAACTCCGGTTTTGTCTGTCCACACGCAGACACCCAAAACGGAGAAAACGCAGATCTTCACTTTGGCCGGAGTTTTTAAAAAGATCCGTTTTCGTGTGAAAAAACTCCGTTTTCGTGTGGATGACAGGCCAAAACGTAGAAAAATATCTACGTTTTGGCAGATCCCCGGCTACGTGTGGACAGGGCCTAAGATGATCATCATTTTCCTTGAATCTTGATTCCAAACCCTTCCTCTAGACACCATCAGATTGTGTTTTATGGAGTTAGCAGCTCAGGTAAACACCTCTGAGCCTGTGTTTTGTATTATTGACCATTTCTAAAGGTAGCACTTTTAATCTGGTTGCCAACGGGTGTACACCACACATACTGATGTAAGGCTGGTGTTTAGACAGAGGAGCTGGCAGAGACGATAGTCAAACACTGAAGTTTGTGGTTGTTGCCCAGAATGATGAGATGAAAAGCATCGTGACCTAATTAAGAATGAGGAGCAGCTTCAGCACAACCGCGCCGTATTTGCATCAACTATAAGATCAAAGTTTGCATGCACTGACTGGTTCTCAGCAGGGGATCGAGTCAGATCAGACATTCATATGATGTGCAAGTGCTGGTGCGGTGCAGACTTGGTCATTAGCAGGACGGAGGTCAGATACACTCTAGTGCCAGAAGTGACTGAAGGACACTATTGACCTGTTGTACTTCTGATCCTTTCACGACAAAACTCTGGCTCCGTCGATGGCTTTGATGTGCTAAACACACGGAGAAAGCCTTTTCTTCATGATGTGCTAAAAAAATCTCTGAAGCAAAAACTCTAATCTGACTAATTAGAAGCTACATGGAGAGATCATTATTTATCACTAACGATATCTGACAAGATCTAAAACTTTTTTCTGTGAAGTGTAACTCATTCGCTGCCAACCGTTTCCTGATCGGTAAAGCCATTCGCTGCCAGCGTTTCTCACCGTTTTTACTGTTTTATTTTAAGAGTGACAGAACGTTGCGCACTCGATGATGTCGACGCCAAAACAACCAAAACAAAGCGGAGACCCACCTCTTACATCAGGAAGAATCTGCGTGTTTTGAGCTTAATCTGGGGCAGCAGTAGCTCAGGTGGTAGAGCGGGTTGCCTCATGATCGGAGGGTCATGGGTTCGATTCCAGCTCCCACCTGGGGTATTCTGCTGTTCAGTGGCGGTTCTACATGGAATTACTCCCCGGGCGAGGCCCCCTTTGAGCGCCCCCCCAACCGCCCCCACCACCACCACCACACCACCCCACCTGCACGAACACACACGTTTTCTATAAACAGGCATGTTTTATTAGAACGACTATTGAACATTCATTTTTCTAAGTTGCACATATTTACATTAATTACTATGAAGTTGTCAGAATGTAAAGCAATATACATTATATACTGTATCAAAATATATAGAATCAAATATACAAAAACAAACAATAACTAAATATTAAGAATATATGAACATAATTTATAATAAATATTCTAAATAGCAAAAATATTTCACACATAACAAACTAAAGATAATCACTACAGCACTGCACTTAGAACAGAAAACACAAACTAAAATTAAAACCTAACCTTGATGCAAAGTCATCAATAATGTCATCATATGAAATCTGCTCCCCTACTGAGTGATTGATACTAATCAGAGCCAGGTTAGTGAGCCGCCCCTGAAACATAGGTGACCTCAGGTATGACTTGATCAAGTTTTGAAAAGCTCCTCTCAGCTTGAGCCACAGTGACTGGCAGAGCAGTCCAAAAGTTGGGGTAGATCTCCAATAGATCTCATGATCCATAATATTTTACAATTGCCTCTGAAATTGTAATTTAAACTGACGTAAAAAAAACTGTAGACTACCAAAAATGCCAACTTTTACAGAACAAATCATGTAAAAAATAATCAGTGCAGCCATCTGCAATAAATAAACAGGATAGTTAGTGGTGACTGGGGAGTTTTCTTCTGCTTGTAGAGTTGTTTTATTTATTATTATGTGAACATGATCAACATGTGTTTGTTGTTCAGGCAGGCCACAGGCTGCAGCAAGCATTTAACAAATCCTAGTTTGAATCAATAAAAAACGATTCAAGGAATTTATTCGAACCATTTGAATATTTGTTTCAATATTTCAGCCCTATTAGCTCTGTTAGCAATTAGTTGACCGGATTTAACCGTTAAAATCCCAGTTAACTGGTTCAAAAAATTGAAAACATGCAGCATGAGAGCGAACATACCTTTATTTTTCTCCTCTTTTTTTCTTTTTTATTCCTGAATCGGGCACCTGTTGGTTTTAGCCTTTTTATGTTCATCTCTTCTGTTTGGCTCTTGACTCAATAAGTTTCCTTTAGTCAGGACTAAACAATTTGACCTTGATGGGGGGGTGAACACAAAATCGTTTTGTTTTTCCTTTTTTTATTCGGCCATTTCACACAATTCAGAAACACCTGAAAGAATGATAGGCCTGTGTTTATGATATTATGAATGAAATGTGGAAGAACATCAAGATGTGATCGACTTTAGCCATGTTGATAGTTGATTCAGCCCCTACCCGCTCATTTCATTTGGACCCACCCAGAGGTGAATTCCCCCGCCGCACCCCTCCCCTTCCTCTTCTTCATACACACACGGTGCACGGAGCGCCTGCAGCTGCAGGGGGCGCCAACTTGCTGTTTCCAATCCAGACACTGTCATATGACAGATAATAGAAAACCTCGGTGCGGCGCAGATTTCCTTTTTTTTTTTAATTTTTTTTTTTACTCAGCGCTTGTGCGCCCCTTTTGTGTCATGAAAAAATGCCGCCCCGGGCAACTGCCCTGTCTGCCCGTGCCTAAAACCGCTACTGCTGCTGTTGTGTCCTTGGGCAAGACACTTCACCCAACTTCCCTGTGTTAGTGGTGGTTAGAGGGGCCGACGGCGCCAAATGGAAGCCTCCCCTCTGTCAGACCTCCCCAGGGCGGCTGTGGCTACAAGTAGCTTACCATCACTAGCAGTGTGTGAATGTGAGAGTGTGTGAAAGCATCTTTGGGTGTCTAGAAAAGCGCTATATAAGTTCAATGCATTATTATTATTATTATTATTATTATTATTATTATTATTATTATTATTATTATTATTATTATTATTAATCCGTTCTTTCTTAATCCGTTGTCAAATTTTGATCGGCAGAAGCTTTTCCAGTTCACACCTCACTTTTTTTTACAGCAGCGGCCCAAAACGATCTCCTAACACATGGATTTTCTGCTTCCTGATCATGTGACGTGTGACGTATGCGGATGAAGATCGGCTTTAGAGCTGAGATGTTTGCTCTCACGGTGCGGGGGCTCGTTCCGATGCCCACACAGTAAAAAAAAATGCAATTGGCAGTGAATGAGTTAAGAAAACAAAGCTCAACAAAGATGTTTATTAGACCAAATTAATAAATTTAAAATCAGACAATGTAATTTTCTGAATGTTTTCCTCATTTTGTCTCATAGTTGAGGTATGATGAAAATCACAGGCCTCTCATCTTTTGAAGTGGGAAACCTTGCTCAGTTTGAAGCTGACTAAATACTTTTTGTCCCACTATAAAAGGCACAAGTTCTTCTTTGTGTGTGTTCTTTTAGTTGGAAACTGTTCCTGATTTTTTTGTGTTAAACTGTGTTTATTTCTGTCGGACGAAGACCCTGCTAGGATCTCCAGTGAAATCAGCCTTAAAACTGTGGAGTTCTAAACGATTGCTGTGGACTCCGTAGAACAGGGATCCCCAACCTGTGTGAAGCTGAGCGCTACTTCATGGGTACCAGGTTGATACGATACTGACCTGTGTACTAGATCAGAGTTAAACTAAACTTCATGTGTAAGAAACATATTTTAGTAACACTTAATTAATGTTACTTAGTGCATTATTAAACATTAATAATCAAAGGATCCCTTATTAATGTTCCCATTATTGTTAACCATGAAGTGTTTGAAGGATTAGGAAAAGGGCCCGGGGTGGGGGTGGGGGTGGGGGGGTGCTTAGTAGTTGTGAGGGCAGCAGTAGCTCAACAGGCTGAGCGGGTTGTCCAGTTATCAGAAGGTTGCAGGTTCAATCCCGGCTCCAGACAGAGAATTCTGCTGTTGTGTCCTTGGGCAAGACACCTAAAGCCGCGCGGACACTGTGCGACTTTTTCACTCGTAGCACTCAGCTTCAGCTCAAACTGTACGACTTCCTCGCAGAGCAGATCTCACGAGCCAGGCGTTCACACTGCACGACCCAGTTCTCGGATGCGACCTGACTGCTCACACTGTACGTCTGGTAGCAACACGTCGGCCCTAAAAATATGCTAATAATAGCCGTTTTTACTCAACAAGTCAGACTTTTTTGTCTTGTTTTGCCTGTTGTCCTTCGGGAGAGCTGCAGGAGGACACACAGGGATTTATGGGGGGTGGATGAGGAAAACGAAATAAAGAAAGTAAATCTGTGTTTGGTGATCAGTTTAATTTGACATGAACACGACAAACACGCTTTCTTGACAATCTTTGTGAGTAAAAAAACGTGTAGAAATAAAAACGAACAACGTGTGTTATTAGGGGAATAGCGGGGAGCGGTGTTGATGCAGGATTGCGCATGCGCCGTGAGCATTTCTGGTACTTTTTGGGTCGCAGCTGCTTGCAGCGCCGCTTCAACAGTGCGATACCCTCACGAGGGACGAGCGAAATATTAAACACGCCAGAAGTTTGTGCGAGCTCACGATTGCTGATCGGTAGCTGGTCACGTGGTGTTAATCGCCTCTCGTAACCCCCTGTACACTACACGACGCTCGGCGCAAAACTCGCCCCGATCTCGTGGATTCTCGCACGACTGGAAAATCGGCTCAAAAAATCAAAAAGTCGCACAGTGTACGTCGAGCTTAATACACCTTGCCTGCTGGTGGTGGTCGGAGGGGCCGGTGGCGCCTGTGCTCGGCAGCCTCACCTCTGTCAGTGCGCCCCAGGGCAGCTGTGGCTACATCGTAGCTCATCACCATCAGTGTGTGAATGTGTGTGTGAATGGATGAATGATACACTGTAGTGTAAAGCGCTTTGGAGTCCTTACTCTAAGAGGCGCTATACAAGTGCGGGTCATTTATCATATCATTTAGTGCATTACATAATATTAACACTAACATTAAGCAGTTTCTATTATGTTCTTTAATACTATATTCATGCTTAATAATTCACTAAGTAACATTAATAAAGGGAGCCTCTTTTGTTAAACGTTACCCTTATTTTAATGTGTTTTTTTTTAAATAAAATTGTAGTTTTTAAATCTATAATATTGCATTGATCATTACAAAAAGATGGCAGCAAATTTCTTCGTAATTTTATTTTAGGCGTGTGTTATTCAGAGAAAAGAGCTGTGGGCACCATATACGCATCCTGATGGTACCGTGGTGCCCGCGGGCGCCAGGTTGGTGAGCCCTGCCTTAGAGCTCTTCATGGCAACATGCTTAGGTCACTGAATCAGTTTCATATGTTTCCAGGGTATGAACAAATTCTTCATTTTCTGCTAATTGCATTCTCTCCTCTTCTATCCTTCTCCTCCTTCTGTCATGTTGTTGCCTTACAATATTTGCTGTAACTTTCCCATCTCTTGTTATTCTGCACTTGGCCCTCTCAACAAACTTTTTCTCCTTTTCGAAACTTTCCCTTCACTTCTCACCTCCTCTAACTTTGTTCCCTTTGAACTGCCATTCATCTCTCTTTTACCTTGTGTCTTTCTCCTCCACTGCCATCCTCTTGTGCTTTGCAGCTTCGCTCAGGCGAGACAGCGGCGATCGTGGCCAGGGAGCTGGCAGAGCAGACCAAAGGCCTTCTGCGTCCTGGTGATGTGCCATCGACAGTGAGAGCCATGGCTCAGCTAGTTGAACTGCTGGATGTCCAGCTCAGAAACCTCACCCCTGGAGGCAAGGACAGCGCTGCTCGGAGCTTGACTAAGGTAGAGAAGCACCAGCTTCACAGCAACAAAAACGGAGCAGGGAAGAAAGCAACTAACAGAAGGATTATTTTGAGTTAACAAATGATAAATGGTAGCTTTCCTTGTTTCTGTCTGACACTCTATCTCAGAGGTTTGTTGAAGAACACTTGATGAATAGCTGCTTTTAGAAAACAGTGTGTGTGCGTGTGTGTGTGTGTGTGTGTGTGTGTGTGTGTGTGTGTGTGTGTGTGTGTGTGTGTGTGTGTGTGTGCGTGTGTGTGTTACAGAGTACACACACATACATCACAGGAGACAGATAACTGCTTTTAGTCTTTGGCAGGACCCTGTCCACTTTTTTTCAGATCAGGGCCAAAATGTAATAAAACTCAGTTTCAGTTATTATCATTATTTGTGTTATTGTCAAACACGACGCAGGCCTGAGATATATTTCAAATCACAAATCATTTAACTAACTTGAGTCTTTGAGTTCCAGTTCTTTAGAAGCTGCTGACAATTGCCCGTTGCATTAAGTACAAATGTTCAGTGTGGCGTTTAATGGGCTCGACACACGGGAGGCGACAAACGACCGCGATCAGCTAAATTTGTCACCGTCGCTTTTATTACCTGACACACGGGAGGCGATCCGCGGCCAGCGGCAAAGTCGTCTACGCGTTCTGTTCCATGGCGAAATCGAAACTTCCGTTGTTTTGCTTGGCTGTGTCAGGTTGGAGGGAGTTAAGGTTATTTAAGCGGTTCAGAGTTAATAAAGTGGTAGATATGATGTTTCACAAGGTGCTGCTAGAGTTATGTGAACTCTTACTTCTGATTTTACTATAAAACATAATAATAATCAGCTTCTCCTCCATGTTTGCTCGGAGATGTACGGAGCATCCTGTCCGCTCATTGGTCAGTGAATGAAACCTCCATTGATTGGTCCTCGTCCGAGCGACAGCGATGAAAAGCTGAAATTGTTTCAACTTTCTGGGATCGTGTCGCTGGGTCGCCTGTGCACGACACGTGCACGAGCGCAAAATTTCACACGCACGTTTTTCGCGTTGCGCTTGGTAGGAGGCAGACCCGCGTTTGTCGCGCATGTCTCATTGAAAATGAATGTAGGAGAGGCGATGTCGCCTCCCGTGTGTCGAGCCCATAAGTTTGTCAGACGTCTAACCTAATTATGGGACTTTGCTGGTGGTTTGTCACACGGCATGGTTCAGAAACTGCTCAGATACTGGGCAGGAACCATTACCATGTTTGGAGTATGTGATTGGAGGAAAATGACAAAGAACGATCAGTGTTAAAATAAAACTTCCAACCTATGTCTTGTGACATAGTTTAAAACTTCACAGTGATTTTTCCTACACCTCGTATGTCCGACTGGAAAAGAACCAGGGGCCAAAGTCATCAGAGGCGAGTTCACGTTTGCAGGTGCAAATTATGGGTTTGTGTAAATCACTAAGGAGCCTCCTTCTGTGCATCCAAGCAAACGACATCTCTGCTCTGCAGTTTGAGAAACGGTGTATGTTGTTAAAGATCATTCCCACCAAAATAATGTAAATCACTACAAGGTTAAAAGGCATGTGCTCTCTGCAGTCCGTTGAGAGCTGCGATTATTTTTGTCTCAGGAGTAAGCAGAAGGACCTGACTGCAGCACGCCGAAAGCGGTGGAGTCTGGCCAGTTGTCAGACTTCTACCATGTTTGGAAAATGCAACAATTACGTTCTGGAACTGAAGGGGGTGCTATAACTAATGGGCCATTCCCATCTGTACCGGGTCGGCCCGGGCCGGGAAGCCCCAGTTGGCCCCAGCCTGGCCCGGTTGATTCCACACATCCTTGCCTTAAGCCCATGTGGGCTGATTCTACCCACCAATCAGAGGCTTGCTCTAATGGAAGGTGTGAATTTGCTGTCAGCAGTGGGTGTGTTGGCCCTGGTCGGCCTGAAGCAGACCCCCTCGAGAAGAGGGCTGAGAATGAGCCTTGGTTGGCCCGGAAAAATACCAGGCCACCCAGATATGTAAACAACCTACGCTACCCGGCCCGGGTCGACCCGGTACAGACGGGAATGGCCCATAATATTACCTAAAATGCACGGTTGAGGAGGGTAGAGAGGCTCATTTATTGAACAGTTTTTGTAAATGTTCCATATGAATATTTTATCATGTGATATTGTCATTTCTTCATAAGAAATACCCCCAACACCTTTTTAGGCTGCATTTACTTGTCCCAGCTGAAATGTGGTGGAAGTAAAGCTTTTTTTTCTGCAAATGGGAGAAAGTAGCCCACAACCAGGCGTTTCTCCTCCCCCCTGGTATCGGTTCTGAAACCTATAATCTGAAAAATTACTCCTGAAATTAATTCTACTGGAACGCCGCCGTAAAACCCGTACATCCCATCTACAAGGACACACGTGATGGCAAGTGGAGTGTGTACTAAGAACCATTTAAAGTGTATTGGATTCAGTGGTGTAGTGGTTACAGTGTCAGACTGGAGTGTGGTTTTCAGCAGGTTTGCCTCCCAGTCGCAGCATTATCTTATTTTTGATTTATTTGATTTTATTAAGCAACACTTGCCAGTATTATGTTTTCAACCCTTTATTGGTAAACAGTTTAAAATATAAGGACTAATCTGTTTAGCGATGGGTACCGAATTCGGTACTTTTTAAGGTACCGACCGAATTCCACAGTACCGACCGAGCATCGATTCACTTCATTTCAAACGGTGCCTCGTTTCGGTACCCGTCCTTCACAACGAGAACTTGCCTAGACAGCTGCGCATGCGCAAGAGCGTTATGTCACCAGTCGCTGCGAGCGAATTGTAAACAGAGCAGCATGGTAGAAAGAACGCACGCTAACGCTTGGGTCCACTTCACTAAAGGTGATGGGTAACTGGGTGATGATGAAACCAGCGACAACGATCTAAGTGAGACATCCTCATCTTAATCTGCTCCGGTAGGTAAATAAAATGTTTAAGATAACGCTAGCTTGATATGTTAGCTTCCGTTTCGCTAATGGTGCGTTCGTTTTCTCCTCGGAAATCCGAATTCCCGACTAGAAGAACATGAACACGCTCTAAAGTTTGGCTTCACTTTACTAAATGCGACGGGTGATTGGGTGAAGATGAAACCAGCTACAACGATCTAAGTGTGAGGCATCATCGTTTTAATCTGCTCCAGCAGCTAAATAAACTGTTTAAGATAATGTTAGCTTGATATGTTAGCTTCCATTGCTACCATTGTTATCAGCTAATGGTGCGTTCGCTTTCTCCTCGGAAATTCTAACTTCCCAGTAGGAAAAATCAAAGGAAAAAAGACGGCAAAAGGAATGAAGATACAGAGTAAATTTAGTTCACAGTAAAGATGTTTGCTTCAGTTTAACTATCAGCTTATAAAACTACAAGGACGATGTTAAAATACAAACAGTTGAATGTTATTTATCGTGATATTTATCAAATATGGTTATATATTGAGAAAAAAAATATTTAATTATAAAAGAGAATTAAAAATATTAAACACTCAAAAGTATCGAAAATTGGTACCGTTAAGTACCGGTATCAATTCCTAGGTACCGGGAATTAGTACCGGATCGATTCAAATGTCAAAGGTACCCATCCCTAAATCTGTTTGTTCTTTACTTTCTTTTTTTATTTAGCAGTGTGAGTGCATGTGTGAGCAGACTAACAACTAAAATGCTGCTTAGAGACGACCACATTCAAAGATCTTTAGAGGCATACAATATTTTTGCAGAAAATAATCAAAAAAACTAAAATATAAATAAATGAAATCTGTTTCAGCTGGCTGAATAAATGACTGCCGACACCACCTGAAGTCGAACCGGCGTCAGCAGAGGGCGACATGAAACAAAAGTCAAACAGTAATGCAACGGGACTACTATAGATAATACAAAACAAAGCTTGAAAGGAACCTTTTCATTTTGGGATATAAATTCAGACCTTATCATTTATGTAGTAAATTATATTTATCTTGCTTAATTTGAACATAGAACAGAGTATTAGCAATTGTAAACTAGTAACAGCCGTGGTTCATGTGGGTCTGACAACTTAGCCTGGCCTGCCAGACTCCTCCTCTGTTTAATTCTGCACAGAGAAAGAGTCTGGGAACTCTCCTATTCAAATATCCCCACCCCCTGAGAATACTAACCGAGCCAATCAGCGCTGAGTATCTTACGTCACACACCACAACGCCGAGTTTGTCATAAACATGGTGACTGAAGCGGAGTTCGCTGCGGCTCTTTCCTCTGTTCTAAAGGACATGAATGTCTTTAAAACAACAACAAGTAGAAGCGCTAAAAGCCTTTCTGCTAAAGAAAGATGTTTGAGCCGTCGCCAGACTCCATTTTTGACTACAGCTAAAAAAAACTACAGCATGGCGGACGTCACACAGCGACGGAGTTCGCTGCGGCTCTCTCCTCTGTTCTAAATGACATGAAGGTCTTTAAAACAACAAGAAGTTGAAGCACTAAAAGCATTTCTGGTAAAGATCTTTGCGCTGTCACCAGACGTCATTTTTGACTACAGCTAAAAAACTACAGAGTCGCGGACGTCACACACGGCGACGCTCAGTTTCTCTTAAACAACGAAGACGGCGGCGGAGTTCGCTGCGGCTCTTTCCTCTGTTCTAAATGACCTGAAAGTCTTTAAAACGAGATGTTTACGCCGTTGCCAGACGCCTTATTTTTACTACAGCTAAAAAACCACAGCGTCGCGCGGTACAGTCGGCATTTCCGTCTTTTTTTCTGATTGGTTGTTTTTGAGCTGCCTAGTCCCGCCCCTCATGTGCCTCTCTGCCTGTGAGTTACCCGACTCTCTCTCTGTGCAGAATTAAACAGAGGACGAGTCTGGCAGGCCAGGCTACCGACAGCTGGCCCGACGCTGCCCCTTTCAGGTGTATTTGGGAGAAAGAGCAGAGGAAGGAGGGCAATCCACTGAACTGCTGCTTTCACAAAAAAAAAAGAGTGCAGGCATGTCATGAAAAGTGTAATTCATCGATCCTTTGAGATTTATGAATGTCAGACGTTGCGTCTAGATTGTCAAAAAACGGCTATTACAGTAAGTGGTTGGCTGTTACATTTAGAGGACATTTTACAAAAATTACAGCTAACAAGATTTTATAACGCCCAATCCCAAAGCAATTATGTCCATTTTTTTGTTGGTGCTGATTTTGCAACAGAAGTTCTTAGACTAAAAAGCATGTCAAACCTACTTAATGTGACAGAGTAGGAGAAGGGCTGCACATGACGCTCCAGAAACTGAAGAACGTCAGGCCTTGTTCGTAACTCTGGGCCGCGGTGTAAAATTTGATTTAATGTAGTCCGCTTTTTCCCCCTACTTCCTACTATTTTAATTCCAGTGTAAAATGTTACACACCTTCTGGTCTTTTTGACTTAAATTAAAAAGAGCATTTACATTATTTTGTAAAAAGTGGACCAAGTTTACGCTAATTTATTATAATCTGCATTTTTCTACCAACGACGGCAGAAAACGATGGCAGGATATTTGGTGAAAAACATCTCTTCCATTCCTCCTGATTTTAACGATGCCCTAATTATATTTATCTAATTGAGCAATGCACTAATGCTTGGTTCTGTTAGGAAATTGAATATGGCCAATCACCAACGAGTGACTTTGTAATTAATGCCATCAATTTACTCCGGGATTAAATAAAAGAAAATCAGGAAGACAACGGTAGAAAGAAGCAGCAACGACAGTTAGAGTTCAGATGAAGAAAAAAGGTAAGTGAGGGTGATAACAATGACATCACACTGTTGATGAAGTAAGTGTGTGTGTGTGGGGGGGGGGGGGGGGGGGGGGGGTCTTCATAACCTAGAGATGTTGAGTCTCTAACAACTGACTTGTTTGAATTTGCAGCTTCAGAAGAGAGAAAGGTCCTGCAGGTTTTTCACACAGGTACTTCTACTTTCTGGTTTGGTCGATTCTTTTGCAGCGCCTCGATCTCACGTGTGTTTGTGTTTACTTTTGTGTTTTTGTTTATTTTTCTTGTAACGCTCAGCATGATGCATACTGCCATGCACGCTTCAGTGTGTTTCTGTGTGTGATCACACATTACTGAGCTGCGTCGTCAGTTCAATGCCAAACTCCTCAAGGGGAAGCTCCGTTTTGAGACGACCTGCCCTGACTCACATCTGCACCAGCATCACTGCTGTCATAATTTTACCATTAACTCTTCTCTGTGAGTTTATTTTAATCCTTGTGCTTGCTGTTTTCTATTTATTTATTTATTTATTTGCATTCAAAATTAACAGAGCTTGCCAAGAGGCCTTGATCAGCAGATATAATACATTCACTGGCTGTGGTTCACTGGGTTCACCTTGCTTGTACCAGTTTAAACCACTTTTTGCATTCAGAAGTGTTTTTGTTTACTGTGACAGATTCGAAAAGGTGTTAGAAACATTTGTCAGAGGTTTTGGTCCATATTGTCTTACAGCGTTGGAAAGTTATATCCATGATGCAACTCTCCTCTTCCTCCACATCCCAGCATTTCTGTAATAGACTGAAATTTGGTGAATGGAGATCACTGGACTCTAGCGAACTTGTGTTGTCCTGCTGGGTGTAGCCATCAGAAGATGAGTTCACTGGTCATAAAAGGAACAAGCGCATCTCCCCCCACACCACACCATAGCGTCAGCAGAAGCCTGAAATGCCGGACGGGTGACAGCTTTATAGTTTTTGACACCTAATTCTGACCCTACCGTCTGAATGTTGTGGCTGAACTCCAGACTCATCAGACCAGCAACGGTTTCCCAGTCTCTTCTGGTCCAGGTCCTGTGATCCTGTGTGAATTGTAGCCTCAGCTTCCTGTTCTTAGTTCATAGGAGAGACAGGTGGTGTGGCCTGCTGCTGGAGTCCATCTGCTTTAAGGTTCAACATGTTGTAGTTCAGAGATGTCCTTCTGGCGACCTTGGTTGAACCCAATAATTATATTGCTACTGTTGTCCGTTAGAACAAATCGGCAAACAGGCTAGTTTTTGAATGCCAACATGGTCTCTGAACACTAACCCCTCTATTTGAATATCTTCCTTAAGACAGTTTAGATGACCAGCATCTGCTGGAACCAGAAACCCACATTACCAGATGAAACGAGATAGTGCTAAACACCAGTCGTTGTTCTCTAGATTCAAATGTCTTTTGTTGTCCGTGACTCCAGATGATGTTTTACTTTTTGGTAGTTTGTCCTAAAGTTGAAGTGGTAGCAGCTGGCTGTTTCTCCTTTTCTGATGTTATCGAGCGGAGAACCTCTCACACCAGTGGGAATGAATGGAGGACTCAGGGAAGTGCAGCGGTTTGAGGAGACCAACAATCAGATGGCCCAATCATTGATTTAGGTTCAAAACATGTTGTTGTCTGAGGTTTTTAGACAAATTCTTTTTTTTTTATCTCCACGTGGTTTTGTACCTATACTGTGTTGTTTAGAGGCATGAAAAAATGTTTTGAGCTAATTAATTTTTCAACTTTGCTGCTGCAGCTTGAACCGTGTCATCTTGAACCAGTCTGCACAGTCTCCACTGGCCTCTGACAGCAGCAGTGCATTCTCGTCCTCACAACTGCTGCTCACTGAATAGTTTCTCTCTTTCAGCTAAGTCTGTATAAACTGTAGAGATGGTTGTGGGTGAGAATCCCAGTCCTTCAGCAGTTTTCAGCTACAGTATACTCAGACCACCTTCTAAGTCACTTAAATCTCCATCCTTCATTCTACTTAGTCTTAAATTAATCGTCATCTTCACCACATGAAAGGTTCTCCAACCTTTCAAGATCCTGGTTCTGGTCTATAGGGCCTTACATGGACAAGCACCATCTTACATTGGTGATCTTCTTAGTCCCTACACCCCCAGCAGGTCCCTGAGGTCCAGTGATCAAAGCCTACTGGTTGTGCAGCACCAGGCTAAAGGTCAAAGGTGACAGATCATCTGCTGCTGTGGCCCCCAGACTCTGGACCTCTCTCCCCCTGAGCCTGAGATCAGTGGACTCAGTGGTCTCCTTTAAAAAGCAGCTGAAGACTCACTTGTTCAAGCTGGCTTTTGTATGACCTTCTTCACCTCTCTCTCTTTATTCTGCTCTCCCCACCTATTCCACCTTCCTCAGGATCCACTGATTTCCCTCTTTCCTGTTCACTCTCTCTCTCTTTCTTAACATTTTTTCTTTTAAATCGCAATTGCTTATTCTTGCTCATTTTAAATATATTTTTAAACATTTTCAAAATGCTTTTTTTCTATTTTTATAATTTTTATATTTTTTGTTTTTGTTTTTGTGAAGCGCCTCGTGATTTTTATCTTGAGAGGCGCTATAGAAATGATATTTTCTTCTTCTTCTTCTTCTTCTTCTTCTTCTTCTTCTTCTTCTTCTTCTTCTTCTTCTTCTTCTTCTTCTTCTTCTTCTTCTTCTTCTTCTTCTTCTTCTTCTTCTTCTTCTTCACATCTAGTTGTTTAAAAGCGTAAACCTTTTGCCATGACGATTAACCAGTTTAGTTGACCGGCAATCCAACAGCTGTACATAATAAATCGGCTACTGTGTGTACAACAGTAAACAGGTGTGTCTGGAACCAGACTACCACTTGTCCAGTGCCAGAATTAAAATGTCCTCTCTGTCAATGTTTTAGAGGCAAACAGCAGAATTTGATCATTCTGTTGTTTTCTACAGCTTGATCGCGGCCTCAGCATGTTAAAATAGTGTCAGCCTGTGTTTGTGTCTCCGTAGTAATTGTCCTTTTTAGTCTGCTTGTATCGATGTTGGCAGAGCCGTGTCCAGGACTTTTAAAATGGGGTGGCCCATGTGGGGCACTTGTTTATTCATGGGTGGCACCAATGGATATGCTTATTTATTTATTTATTTATTTACACACATTGTTTATTTATTTATTTACTTTCTAGTGAATTTTTGAGTTTCACATTGCACAATCACCACTTTTTTCCCTCTTCATCTTCTACTTTTGCGGTGGTTAGCAAGTCACTTCTTGTTGCATTACTGCCACCAACTGGAGTTGAGTGGGACTCTAAATACTATGTTTGTGAGTATGAAAAAATATTAATATTAATACTGCACACCTGGGCTAGAAAACAGGATGAAAGTGCACGCAACCACACACTATTTTGGAGTTTACAACCCAAGCCTTTTGTCGACAATGTAAAGTCAATTTAAACTGGAACTTAGTGGGGTGGCATCTGGGGTGGCCAATCAGATTCTAAGGGTGGCATGTGCTACCCCAGGCCACTCCCTGGACACGGCCCTGGATGTTGGTTTGTGTCGATGCCATGAGCTCACGGCGCTAACAGGAATTCTAACATCTTTCAGGCGCGTTTCTGGTCAGCTAAAATCACTATTCAGGAGATCAAAGTGCCCCAGCATCCTCATCCATGTAGTGTGGATAGGCTGCATAGTTCTGTCTACACACACACACACACACACACACTGGATGGTGTCGCTCTTTTTCTCTTGATGCAGGCTCTTTTTCCACACTCCCCTGAAAAGTCTTAACGTCAGCACAAGTCAGCAATGCCACATGATAGAACATGGCTTAGGACTGTATGCAAGCTGACACACACACACACACACACACACACACACACACACACACACACACTTGAACATATGTTCAACAATAATCTTGTGCTGTCACGTCTGAACAGTCAGGCGTTGCTAGCATGTCTCCTTAAGCCAAATAAGGCTGCATTTCCAGGAACGGCTCATCTCAGATTCAAATCCTGACTTTCACCACACACCTCGGCAAAGAGAGGGGTGGGGGGTGGGGAATGGCTGGGAGTGATCGATTATATAATTAGCCTTAGTTATGTGAAACAAAATTACACCAACAGTCCCTTACTCTGGCAGATAGAAACGTGCCTGATTAGGGATGTGGTATGGCGCTGCCCTATCCTCATTAATTATCTACGCCACTAATTGCCAAGTGAGGAAGAGTGGGCAGGAGGTCTGCGCTCTTAATAGAGACAAAAAATAATTGAATTCTCTCCCTCCCCTTTTTTTCTCTGTTTCTCTCCTCCTTTTCTCACACTTCATTTCTCCTCCTCAGTCGTTTCGTTTGGGTAACTGGGGACTCGTTTCATGTATACCAAATTGGCAATTTATCCATGATGAAGTTGGTGGTGTGGAGAGGCTTTGATGCTTTAGGGTGCTCTGAAGGAGGCAGGTAGTCTGTCAGGTAGAAGGAGAAGGGGGTAAAATAAAAAGGATGGTGCAGAAATTAGAGAAGAGAGAAAGTAGAGAGGTGGAATGTGAGAGCGACAATAATTGGGGCAGAGAGGAGACAGTGATGCTCAATGACAGTGTCTAATTTGCCCTCTATTTATGGATGGCAGGTCAGAAATGTGGCATTGTGTGAATTTAAACCCCGGTTTGGCTGCAAACTCATTTGTCATAAAAGACAAACTCCCAACAGCAAATGTAGCGACGCCTCCCTGTCTGATGGTATTAAACCTGCATTTGTTCACACCTCAGCCTGGAGAAAACAAAACATGACTTCTTCTCATCTAGCCTCTTTTCTTCTAACATCCCAACTCCATCATGTTACCCAGCAGTGTTCTCCACACTACATCCATGTACCCATGTTCACCTTGGGTATTTGGGAGCCCAGTTAGAGGCTGTCTTGCTGCTGCTGTTTACGCTGGATTACCCCAACGCTTCAAAGCATTTCCCTTCTGCCCCATTTACTGTTCTCTGTGAGTGTGTGTGAGTGTGTGTGCCTGCCTTGAACATTTTAGTGTCACAAAAGCACACTCATACTGACTCACACCCTTACACTGCCTACACCCTTATCTGTCTCTGCAGAGTCTCTCCCCCCTTTTATGAAAAACTCTCGGCTTCAGCCCTCAAGTCTTCATACATGTGCAGGATGGAAATGTCACCGGTGGCACCAGCGTTAAAGCCACACACACACACACACACACACATGCATGCACACATTCCATCCCAGAGATGTCTGGAACTCCGGGAAACCTCAACCCTTCTTCTCCGTACCTATCTCTGTCCTCTGCGGATGTTATCTCAGGCCTAGTCCACACGTAGCCGTTTTTTTTTAAACGAATATCCGCCCCTCCAAAAACTTGCATCCGCACCACCGCGTTTTAAAAACAAACTCTGTCCACACGTACCCGGATAAATACGTTGTTAAGGACATGCCAGACCTGTAGGCGGCAGTACTTCCCCCGTTCTTAACCTCGTCCTTCGTCTGTGGTCTTCCGCAAGGAGCAGTAATTGCGCTTGCAAAAACAAACAAGCAAAAAGCGCTTGGACAATTGATAAAGCGAGCGCAGCTCTGAGGGCATCCATGCTGTCGGCTAGTGTAAACACAGGTCGCACACGCGATGTCAGCATTTTTTTGTCGCAGAAAGTGACGTTGCGGACCTTAAAACTCCGGTTTTGTCTGTCCACACGCAGACACCCAAAACGGAGAAAACGCAGATCTTCACTTTGGCCGGAGTTTTTAAAAAGATCCGTTTTCCTGTGAAAAAACTCCATTTTCGTGTGGATGACAGGCCAAAACGTAGAAAAATATCTACGTTTTGGCAGATCCCCGGCTACGTGTGGACAGGGCCTCAGTCGCACTGAATGAAATTTCAAATAAAGAAAAAAATTAATATGCTTGATAGTCAAAAGGTCAATAAAAAGCTGTAGGAATTTTAATGAGAGTAGAGAGTCTGGGTTATCTAGAGCACATTAAGTGAGCGTTTTCGAGCAGGACTGGCAGCCAGAGCGAATGGGAAGCAGCTCTCATATCTGCTGTGCCCACAGAGAAGAACATCTTCCCCTCTGTCTGCTTTTGTTGCCTGGGCTGCTACTGTACAGCAAGTGGAGCAGAATGATGCACTACAATGCATCTCTTAGCTCCTAGTGCACACCCCCATCTGTGCACCCAGCCAAAGCCACACACACACACACACACATGCACACACACACACTTAACAATCCTGCATGTGACATTCAACATTTATTTAAACTTCAGGCAACAACATGGCAGTGCAAAGAGAAAGAAATGTGGAGATTATTCATGATGAAACCTTATAAAGAGCATCAGCATTAAATAGTGAAGTAAGTAAAGAATAATTAGAATGATTAATATTTAAATCGTGTTGAATCGACTACAACAAGATCGGTTGGACGTGAGGAATTAAAAATGTAAAACTGAAGAAGTGCCTCTGGGTAAAGATGGGTTAAGCCTGAGAGTTTTCCTCAAGTTACGACAAGATCGAGTAATTCAAGCTAAACTAGATAATAAATTCAATGATAATAAATCATTTAAATACTGAGAATCCCGTCCTCCATAGCCTCTACGTCTAAAGTATCACAAGTAGACCTCTGAGGTTTCCTTTCCTTTATGAAGCACGACCACATGGACGTAATTTTCACTTTAGAAGTGGGGGGACATGGGGGGGGGGGGGGGTCTTTACAGTATGCTCTAATGGGAAACGGGCTTCAACACAAACGGTTGTTTTCCCAGTCTCATTTTAATATAGCGTAATGGATGGTAAAAAGTGCAGGGGTCAAAACTTGACTTTGGAAAAAGTGTGTGTGGGGGGGGGGGGGGGGACATGTCCCCCCTGTCCCCCCCAAAACTTACGTCCATGCACGACCAAGACTATTGCTGAACAAACTACTTTGTTTTCTTTTTGAAATAAATACTTTCAAAAGCATTCCTGACATTTTTGGACTCCTCGTAAAAGATAGGTTAAATGTTTATTTTTATCTGAGTGTGAAACTCCAATTGTACGACAAGCTACAACATGCAATAATTTACACTAATCATAAAAAGTGGCACCATCAGCATAAAAATGAATTATGAAAGGAGGGGAAAAAGGAAGGAGAGGGAGCTAAATGTCAGGTAAACAATATATAACAACCATTTATTCCAGTTTCTCATCAGTGTTCCGGTTTAAATACGTCTGACTAAGTCCGGTTGGTTACGTTTAGATTTAAAAGCCTTGATGATGTTGATCGAATGATGGAACAAATAAAGCTTTCTTTGTCCCTCATCAGGGAAAATCATAGTTTTGCAACTTTGCAGTTAATTAAATGTGCATTTTAATCTTAATATCAGCTCCAAACAGTCACAAAAACAACGTCATCAACTAAAAGTGAGTGTAACTAAATAATTATTTGGGTTTGTAAGCGTGCTCCAATTTTGTCTTGACTGCTAATTGAAGGCTAAGCTAACAAGCATCTTGTGGTGGTTGAAAAAGCCACACAGGACAAGGTGAGAAATAATAACTAAAGCAATAAAACCACAGCAGCTGGCCTGGATTGCCCCTGCAAGACAACAATTGCACAAGAAAACTGAGCAAATTTGCAAAGAATGTTCTTCGTTTCTCAAGTTTTAGAGCTCCATGAAAAAAATGATGTATGTAGTTTGTAGCTGTTTAGAAGAAACCTCCTTGTACTTAAACACCAGTTTAGTGGAAGAGTCACGTGCACGCTTTTAGGCCAGAGCTAGGCAGGTGATGCTGGTTAGGCTAAAGGGAAACACGGGTGCTGCAGGTGCAGAAAGGCTAAACTCTGAAACCTCATTGCACAACCGGAGCAGGGAGGGCAGCGCTGATGAGGATCTGGCAGGGAGCAAAGAAAACATTGGACTGTAATGAATAACGAAACCCTGATGGAGCAATCAGTCAGCAAAACTCGGTTGGCGTGAACGATGATTGAGGCAAAGCTCAGCAGAATGCACAGAACACAAAATATGTTCAAATTATGGATGGACCTAATCTTAAATAATGGCTCAAAAGCAAAATAAAAGCATAAATGGAAAACCCAAACTTCACCGACTCAAACCGGTCGTTTTTACGTCTGATAAAATAAAGAAGCACAAATGAAGTTTCAAAGATCCTTGAGAGGATATTAAAGCTTGTAGCCTATTGTCCTCAAATTGAAAGGTTGGTGATTTACACAGGGGTGGCTCACACACACACACACACACACACACACACACACACACACACACACACACACACACACACATAACCTCCACTCCTGCGTATTCCGGTTGTTTGGAGAAGAAGTGGATTAATTAGTTTTTGTTTACACGTATCCCTTCCAGACTCATCCAGTAGGCATCCCTCCTAATTAGCAGCTAGTGCTAAAATAGGACGTGATATTATCATATTAGCTTGTTGGAACCTGTGTGTGTGTGTGTGTGTGTGTGCGTGCGTGCGTGCGTGCGTGTGTGTGTGTGTGCGTGCGTGCGTGCGTGCGTGCGTGCGTGTGTGTGTGTGTGTGTGTGTATACTTTAGTTGCATGCAGGTAAAACACAGGAGTTTTTCTGACTGAACATGATTTGTAAATGATTCACGATCGACTGCTTCCCTATACACCATCTACTTTCTGAATGATTAAAACACACGTCACTTACAGCAGCTGTCTCCTCATTCCTTGACTAGTTTCCTGTTATGTTCTTCACCCTGAGTGACAGGGACCAAGAGGAAGTCAAGTGGCGCATATGTGAAAGGCGACAAAGTGACGTTCCTCATTCGTCCTGCTTGCTCTTGCGATTCCCCACTGGAGACGCCTTTAGCTTGTATAATAGCACCTGTGCTGCTTCGCCCACTTCCTCCTCGTTGTCCCTCCTCAAGAGAGAGAAAGATGAGTAAAAGACGGGATGAGAGGGTGTCTGCATGAAGGGTGGTTTACGGAGCAAAAGAAAATAAGGAGACAAAGGGGAGTGTAAGATGTGTGTGTTTGATAGCACCTGTATTCGCTTTTCCGCCTCTCTTGCTCCCAGTGGACGCCTGTCACCATGGACTCACTGGACTGTTTTATCACTTTCCCATGGTCCTCCTCCCCATCCCCGTCTGCACCAGCTCTTTTTTCTCTGTCGTTCTGTCTCTTTATCTCTCCCCGGGTCTCTAAACGTGTGTCAGCCGAATGTGTGTGCATGTGGTGAAAAGGAGGAGAATCCTTAAGAGCATGAGTGGATGTGAGCAGAAGACAAAATAGGAATTGTTTCAGGGAAAACTTCTCATCTATAGAGGCCGAGCCAACAGTTCTCTGTTTATCTCGGTGAAACTTTGGGATTCGTAGCTGCTCCGCTCTGCTGGATGCAAACCAGCTTACATTAAACACAGTCAACCTATGAAATGAGACCGTTACTTCAAAAAAGAGGAAAAAGAAGGCAGCTGAAGGAGATGGTAGTGTGTCAAAACACAGTGATTGCAATCAAGTGATAAGCTCAGCTTGATTTTCAGAACATCTGTGATTCTCCACGTAAAAAAAAAGTAACAATCATTGAAAGGTGCACACTTTAAAAGTTTTGTTTTATATAACGTCTTTAGCTTACTGTTTTATGTGTTTTTTTCCATGTCTGCATGAGAATGCCTCATTTGCATCACTAACATTTTGTTGTCTTGATTGCCACGATTTATCAACATGATAAATGAAAAGTTTCCGCCTTCTCAGTGTTGCATCCCGCTGGCTGCCGTCTCCTGTGGTCAGGGTGTAGTAATGCTGCATGCAATATAAATAAGTTCCTGCATTCATTTTCATACGAGCGGGATTGACTGGAAATGTTAGCTTTAGCTTCGGCTACGTGACCCCTGTCTTTATTGCTCCCTCAGGCGATGGTGGAGACGGTAAACAATTTGCTGCATCCGAGAGCCCAGCCGGCGTGGAGGGAGCTGCCCACCAGCGAGCAGGTGCACTCAGCCACTCTGCTCCTCGACACCGTGGAAACCGGCGCTTTTATGTTGGCTGACAACCTGCTGAAGACCGACACCGTGCAGGAGACCACTGACTACATTCGTAAGTACATTTTACGGCTTGGTCACAGTTGGACTTTGAGACTGTTCAGAAAACTATTTGGATGCACTTAACAGTTTTAGACAGAGATAGAAAAAGAAAGTCCAGACCTCCACCAGTTCTCTGGACAGGATTTATCCCTGCGGGGTCACCGGGATGGCGAAGCCTCCCAGGTGTTTGTGTCAAATCAGTGATTTAACATTAAATAACAGTATTAAACATTATTTTGATTTATTAGAATATAGTTTGTTGCATTTACATTTTCTTTGCCATTCGTAAATCCAAAAAGCAACTTAGGCAGCTGCAGTTTAAAGAGTATGATGCAACATCTCCGTAAGACAGAAAACAACACTTCTTTGCCTCAGATTCATCATTCATTCATTCATCTATAAAACTAGAATCAAAACATTTCATCTAATGTGTCAGAAATCATTTTTTTTAAGATAAGTATCAAATATGCATTTAAACTACAGACGTAGAATTCCTTTAAGCAACGCCTCGTGACAGACTTTTAAACCGAGATCGTTTTATGTTGAGAAATGATGGAATTGTAGTTGTTTTGATCAAACCCTGAAACAACTTTATGCACAACTGCAAAGTGAAGTTGCACGAGTTTTACACCATCTGTAAACACTTCAAAACGACTTTCAGCTGCAGCAAAATTCAGGTCAAAAACTGTAAAAATGAACGCTGGTGTCGTTAAATGTGTTTGCTAATATTCATTAGTTGGTTAATTGCTAAATCAGGCTGACTTCAGAAGCTAGTCTGTTTGTTCTGATGAATTCAGCCAGTGGTTAGTGAGGTTTTGTGAGAATGAACACACAGACTGAGGCAAATGCATGACTGTCTTCTTTGTGTCTTGGGCGATGGGCGTAAACCCACAGATCCTGCACGTTTATTTGAACTTGTATTTGTGTTTTATATGTATAAGAAGAAGCAGAAAGAAAATATCATTTCTATAGCGCCTCTCAAGATAAAAATCACGAGGCGCTTCACAAAAACAAAAAATATAAAAATTGTAAAAATGTAAAAAAGCATTTCGAAAATGTTTAAAAATATATTTAAAATGAGCAAAAATAGGCAATTGCGATTTAAAAGAAAAAATGTTAAGAAAGAGAGAGAGAGTGAACAGGAAAGAGGGAAATCAGTGGATCCTGAGGAAGGTGGAATAGGTGGGGAGAGCAGAATAAAGAGAGAGAGGTGAAGAAGGTCATACAAAAGCCAGCTTGAACAAGTGAGTCTTCAGCTGCTTTTTAAAGGAGACCACTGAGTCCACTGATCTCAGGCTCAGGGGGAGAGAGGTCCAGAGTCTGGGGGCCACAGCAGCAGATGATCTGTCACCTTTGACCTTTAGCCTGGTGCTGCACAACCAGTAGGCTTTGATCACTGGACCTCAGGGACCTGCTGGGGGTGTAGGGACTAAGAAGATCACCAATGTAAGATGGTGCTTGTCCATGTAAGGCCCTATGGACCAGAACCAGGATCTTGAAATGAACCCTGAAGTTGACTGGCAGCCAGTGAAGCTGGAGGAGAAGCGGGGTGATGTGGGTGTGTTTGGAGGACTTGGTCAGAAGCCGAGCACAGGCATTCTGAACCACCTGTAGACGGTTCAGGGAGGTTCTGCTCAGACACGTGAAAAGAGAGTTACAGTATACTAGCTTAGAAATCTAGAAATCAAATTCTTGGAGAAATAAAAGCTTTTCCTCTGCAGGTCGGTTTAGCCACGCTCCACTGTAGCCTCAGCAGGTCTACCAACGGACCGAACAATTTTACCTCTAGCCAATCACAGCGCTTTATATTTTTAGAGCGATATAGGGAGCCTAAGTCACGTCCGCACCACGGGTCCCCGGAAGACCAAAACAATGAATACAAGTCAACGGAGCTAAAAACGCTATTTTCTAATTCGCTTTACCTTACGCCCTGGATCGCACATATGTTGTACTGCAGTTTAAATGAAAACTATTGATGGGTGTTTCGACCACGCCAGTCACGTACTTTGAGATTTATTAGCTCGTAAAAGTTCGTAATAAGCATGACTGCAAACTAGAAATCGTCACGTCGCATGTGTGACGTCACCACATAATCTCCTCTCCGCTAACGTAGCTGCTACTTACCACATGACCAGATTTATGGTGGTTCTTTCCTCCTGTGGGAAGTTCCCTGAACTTACAGCCATTTTCCCTCCGTTTTTTCCGTGTCTGGTTCGATGACGCCACTTTCGTGAAGCGCATTTGTAGTCCTGGACTTTCTCTCACACAAAACCTAAAATAGCATTTCTCCCTGTTTGAAAATAAGCACGTTCTTGGTATCAAAATCCATCTTTAACATTCACGGACATCATGGCACAAAACAAGCGGGATTAGAAAATAGCATTTTTAGCCCTATTGACTTCGTTTTTTCGTTCTTCCGGGACCCATGATGCGAAAGTGACTTAAGCCGGGCGTACACTGTGCGACTTTTTCACTTTTTTGAGCCGATTTTCCAGTCGTGCGAGAATCCACGACATCGGGGCGAGTTTTGCGCCGAGCGTCGTGTAGTTTACAGGGGGTTACGAGATGCGATTAACACCACGTGACCAGCTGCTGATCAGCAGTCGTGAGGTCGCACGGACTTCTGGCGTGTTTAATATTCGCTCGTCCCTCGTGAGGATATCGCACTGTGAGCAGCTGCGACCCAAAATGTATCAGAACCGCTCACGGCGCATGCGCAATCCTGCATCAACACCGCTCAGCCGCTATTTCCCTAATAACACACGTTGTTCGTTTTTGTTTCTACACGTTTTTTTACTCACAAAGATTGTCAAGAAAGCGTGTTTGTCGTGTTCATGTCAAATTAAACTGATCACAAAAGACAGATTTACTTTCTTTATTTCGTTTTCCTCATCCAACCCCCATAAATCCCTGTGTGTCCTCCTGCAGCACTCCCGAAGGACAACAGGCAAAACAAGACAAAAAAGTCTGACGTGTTGTGTAAAAACTGCTATTTTTAGCATATTTTTAGGTCCGACGTGTTGCTACCAGACGTACAGTGTGAGCAGTCAGGTCGCATCCGAGAACTGGGTCGTGCAGTTTGAGCGCATGACTCGTGAGATCTGTCCTGCGAGGAAGTCGTACAGTTTGAGCTGAAGCTGAGTGCTACGAGTGAAAAAGTCGCACAGTGTACGCCCGGCTTTAGGCTCCTTATTTGGTGAGCTAAGCACCAGAGCTGCATCGAAGAACTACAAAGATGGTGCTGGTTCATGAACAGCACTCATTTGAAATGGCTTTGGTATCAAAGACTTGGGCTTTTCTTTAAGACATGAGTGTGGGTTCCACCCCACGACTTAGATCTGTCCGTGAGTCATGGCCTGACTTTATATTAACATGTATGGGATGGCTTGCCAGGCTATACCTTAACATTTTAATGACTCAATAAGGGGGAACAGATCGGGATGAGGCTGTTGTACTACTGTGACTGAGAAAAATGTGATAAACATCAAGATGAGCTACAAGATAAACAAAAACAATAACACGATTAATCATATTCTGCAAGAGGGCAGAGCAAAGCAAGCCAAACTGGATAAAGCTGTCAGTGATAATGTAGCATTACAGGAAGTCAATAAACGTACAGAACAGTTCACGTATGCAGTTTAGATGCTCCCTCCGTAGTACTTAAGCAGGTTTAACAAGGGTTCATTTAAAAAGGGAGGAAGTCATTATGAAAGAAACCACTGACTACTTTTATTTCCAGCCTCTCTTAGAAAATTAATAAAAGCTTGCCTTTAATATTTCAGGTATAAAATATTTTATATTTTCACTTAATTAATGTTTATGCACAAGAACGTCAATAACAGCGTTGAGTGCGTAATAAAGGGCTGTAAGTAAAGTGTGCATTTGTTTACTCCATTTCGGTCAAAACTGGCATCATTTGGAACAAATTCAGGAAAGCTGATGTATTTTTTATTTATTTATTTATTTGCATGCCATTAAATGGTTTCATGTGCAGAACACAAACAGGCCCATTCGTTTTTAATTGTAGAATTCTTCCATAAATGCGACTTTGTGAATATAAGAACTTTTTTTTCTGTATTTCAAAACACGTTATAACTACACTGACCTCAATGAGTGATCACATGTTACCTTTGTGACTTAACAAAATGCTCTTAAGGTATTAAAGTTAGCATAGACTCCTGAGATCAAATGTTCCTGAAGTGTTGAAGCAACACTTGCACCTCAGCTTCATAAAACCAACTTTCATAGATGTGGTATGTTTGAAAAACCAAACACTTTGAATTATTTTAGAAAGCCATGGATAAAAGAAACCGTATCTAATAAATTATTCAGTATTAAGCTCATTTTCATGCCTTTAATTTTTATTTTTGACATCAGTTTAAATACTTTTCAAGGCTTTGACCACAAATAACTTCCTTTTTGAAGAAATGCACATAGCCAACCAACTTTTATGTCAGAGGAATAAACCAAGATCATACTTTATACGTATATATGAGAGAGAGAGAGAGAGAGAGAGAGAGAGAGAGAGGAGTGTTTTTTTTTTGGGGGGGGTCCAAATCTTACAAATATGCATAATCCTATGCAATCTGGATAGCACAATGTAATGAAATAGCTCAGTTATAGCAAGTTTCTGGGTTTTGCTAAGGCCTGGGTCACACGATGCTAGGATCTAAGACTGTTGGGATAATTTAAAAAATATGAGACCACACATGTGGCCATAAATGCTCACAGATACGACAGTCCTGGCGTTGTGGTTTACGGCCACATGGTAAAAATAACACACCACAAACAACCCGATTTTACTCACCGGCATTCCCAGATTAGTTGGGAAATCTTGCTAAACCTCTAGATCAAACGGGAGGAAGAGGAGGATTTGGATTTTCCTCATTCTGAGCAGCGTTCTTCCATCACCTTGCTCTTTGATTGGCTACATGTCTGTGAAATTGGGTCAAGGTCTTCTAACATCTCTAGTTTGTGACTGAGCGGTCTTGTCATCCTTCTGAATAGACCAGAGCACTCCTAAAACACAACACATGGCAGGAATATCTAATAAGATTAACTTTTGAGCCATTACGGTAATCGAGGGCAGCTGACTGTCTGAAGGGGAGAACTGAGGCGAAAACTGGCAGGACTATCTTGTGGTGTGAACCAGGCCTTATGGTTATGTCTGGAAACCATCTTGAAGTAGATTTAACCCAAATGTTTGTCAGTTGTAGCCGTGCATCCGGATCCTTTTCAAGATAAACTATGTCCTCGTGTTCATGAGATCTGTTGCTAACAGTCAGACAAATGAGCACACGTACACAGGCACGGGCCAAAACTGTATTGCAATCGTTTTGATTTTCACATTTGCACATTATTCACAGCAGCTGCGCCCAGCTCCTGCTCCTTGACATGTTACTTTTCAGAAAGTTTCTTTTTAAGTTTTTGTCTGCTGTAGCCTGAGCCCATAGCCCAGATCTCATTAGTTAGCCCAGAGAAAGCATCAACTTATTATTTGAATCATGCGTGCTAAATGAGCCTACGTGCTGCTATCATGCAACATGATCTCTGGACTACAGGCAGCAGGTTCATGAGAGGTTCGCTCAGGACTTTGTAGTTCGTGTAATTCTGCTGATCTTCTACATGCAACAAGCTGAAGGAGAGGTGAGAATCCAAAATGTTAACGGCGTCTTCTCCAAAGCTTTGACTGCTTTGCTTTACTACGATTATTACATGTGCAGGGCTGTCAGAGGGAGGTCACGATGAAGATATGTTAAAGGGTCAAGTCCACAGAGAGGCTTATCTACCAGGAAAAAAAATTAGCCTTCAGGCTAGTGCGAGTTGTTTTCCTCAGCCAATAATTTGTATTAATTTATTTATCTTTCCATATTCTCTGCCCTCTGCTTGTAGGCGGAATTGACAAAGCACAACAATCACTTCCACATCGCCTCCCTTTTTTCCCACTCCTTTTGCTTATAATCTCGCCCCTCGCCGATCGTGTCATCGTGCAGCGATGCTACACAGTTTCTCTGAAGAGCAAAGAACATCCTTGGTTTTCATGCCTCCAGGTGGTGATGATATATCTGTGAGCTGTCACTTCATCGTGCACTCAGACCAGCCAGTCGCACCCACTTTAGACCGCCTCTAGTTATCCTCCTATTTACTCTCAATCTGATTTGATATTTTAAAACTTCCTCCACATCATTCCCCCCCATTACTGGAATTCAGCGTGCTTGTATGCTACTCAGTCACAGATGAAAAGCCGTGAAGGAGGAGCAGGAGAAGAGAGAAAAACGAAGGCGATAAGAGAAGAAGAGTGCACGCTCGAGGGCGACGGTGGCGGTTGAATGTCAAACGATGCCGTGAGGGTTTTATTTTTTCTTATTTTTCTCCTTCTTTGGCTCATTTTTACATCAATAAGCAGTGAAATTACAGCTGCTTAACTCACACAGCATGGCGATCACATTACTGCAGCTTTCCCTATCAAAAACAGACCGATAAGCTTCCACAAAGTCTGTCCTTTCAATTAGATGCTGTCAGATTCCTGATGAACTTCTAAGTGCACCAGTTCTCCAAACGCCCGTCATCCTACACAGTTTCAACTTGAGGGGTGACGGTGGCACAGGAGTTAAGTGCTCGCCCCGTAATCGGAAGGTTGCTGGTTCGAGTCCCGCTCAGTCTGTCGCTGTCGTTGTGTCCTTGGGCAAGACACTTAACCCACGTTGCCTGCTGGTGGTGGTCGGAGGGACCGGTGGCGCCAGTGCTCGGCAGCCTCGCCTCTGTCAGTGCGCCCCAGGGCAGCTGTGGCTACATTGTAGCTCATCCCCATCAGTGTGTGAATGGATGAATGACTGATTGTGTTGTAAAGCACCTTGGGGGGTTCCAGGACTCTAGAAGGCGCTATATCAAATACAGGCCATTTACCATTTAACTTACATCATTCAGGCCCTGTCCACACGTAGCCAGGGATCTGCCAAAACGTAGATATTTTTCTACGTTTTGGCCTGTCATCCACACGAAAACGGAGTTTTTTAAAAACTCCGGCCAAAGTGAAGATCTGCGTTTTCTCCGTTTTGGGTGTCTGCGTTTGGACAGACAAAACCGGAGTTTTAAGGTCCGCAACGTCACTTTCCGCGACAAAAAAATGCTGACATTGCGTGTGCGACCTGTGTTTACACTAGCCGACAGCATGGATGCGCTCAGAGCTGCGCTCGCTTTATCAATTGTCCAAACGCTGTTTGCTTGTTTGTTTTTGCAAGCGGAATTACTGCTCCTTGCGGAAGACCACAGACGAAGGACGAGGTTAAGAACGGGGAAGTACTGCCGCCTACAGGTCTGGCATGTCCTTAACAACGTATTTATCCGGGTACGTGTGGACAGAGTTTTTTTTTTTTAAACAAGGTGGTGTGGATGCAAGTTTTTGGAGGGGCGGATATTCGTTAAAAAAAAACCCGGCTACGTGTGGACTAGGCCTCAGGTTTGTATCGCCTCCAATTAATTTGTTTCCCTTCCCGAATGCACCACATAAGCATTGTTACATAAATCCTGATCAAGATGTAGGCTTCTGCATCTCAGAGGAACACAAAACTGAATTTTTGCCTTCAATTTTGTGTTTTTCTGGATGAAAATTTTCCCGCATCTTTTTGTGCCGTTAATCTTCCCTCCCAGCTAATCCAGTGGGACGATCCACCATGATTATCTCTCTGTTGTATTCATAAACAACCACAAGCAGCGTGTCATCTTCTGCATCCCTTCCTCACTTCCCTCGCTCTCCATCACCATCCTCACACTTTTTTCATAACCCCCCCCCACACACACACACACACACACACACACACACACACACACCTTTCTTTTTCTAACAAGCCTTTCAGATGCAAGTGAGTGACAAGAATAAATTATCTGACGCAGCTCTAGGACGCCACTGCAGCTACTGTAAGTGATATTATTGTGTGAGATTGTGTGTACGAGGCGCAGGATAAGGCAGCTGAATAAATAGTGTTATTATTAGAAGTAAAACAGTGATTTGGAGGGATAACGCGGCGGTAGCAGCGTGCACGTGTGATAACGATAATGAACAAGTGTGTTTCTTCAGGAGGAGGATTGTCATGACAAGGATGTTTTAATTAGATTAGACCCAGCGTGTTTCAGTATCCCGCCGATGTGTACGGGCGTGGGTGGGTGGGTGTGCACATGTGTGAGCGTTCGTGTGCACCTTGCTTCGTTGTGGCTAAATGTGCACATTAGGGACACTTAACTAGCTGCTCCTGCTTCCTGTCAGTAATTTTGCATCTGCTCATTTCCCCACCACTTTCCCTCCTTTTCAGTATTTTTTTTAATTTTAAATCTCACCCGTTTTTAGCTCCTCATCCACTTTTTTTTTTTTTAATCTGAGCTGTCGTGTTGTTTACTCGATTTGGGGGATGGGGGTGTTGTCACCATGAAGAGCAGCAGTCTAAATCACCAAATCACTCAGCAGCACAAGATAGCAATACACCAAAGGTATAATTAGCCCTTAATTAGAAACTTTATCTAACACTTCACTCGGTTGTAATCAGGAATGTGCTAACGAACTCAGATTGTGAAATTAGATTCCTACAATACAAGAGAGGCAGGATAATCTACCTTGATGTGTTGGACCAGTTGCTTGGAGACACTGTTACAGCTTTTGGTATAAAAATGTCTCTTTATGTCGATGTCATGCCTGTCAGCTTTTTTTTTTTTTTAATTTGGAGATAGAAGCTGCTGGAGGATTCATGCTCGTGATCTGCTTTGAAGCATTTAGTGCGAAAACACGGTTGATACGAGAGTCTGTAAAGCAGATCTGATGTGATGTGTTACGCTATGATTTGACACAAGGTTGTGTGTGTGTGTGTGTTTCAGAGCTGGAGGTAGCCAGGCTGAGCACAGATGGGAACCTTGCAGATCTGACGTTCCCTCAGTCAGAAAAACATGGAAACTCCATCCAGCTGTCAGCCAGCACTCTCAAACAGCACGGCAGAAACGGTACGTAACAAATCTCACATTGGCTCGCTCCCTCGTGCTCACCGTGGGGGGTCCATGACCCCTCCAACTCTCTTCTCTCTTTAACTGATGTTCTGTGCTTTCTCTCCTTAAATTTTATGACATTTTTCTAACATCAGCCCTCCTTCTGTGTTGGCTTTGTTAAACTCGGACGGTTATTAATGGTGTTGTCTCCGCGTGTCTCCCAGGGGAGATCAGGATGGCGTTTGTGCTGTACACAAACTTGGGTTCCTACCTGTCAACAGAGAACGCCAGTGTCAGACTAAACAGCGAGGCCCTCTATCCGAATTACTCGGTCATCGTCAACTCGCCGGTCATCACAGCGTCGATTAACAAGGAGAGCAACAAGGTTTACCTGTCTGAGCCTGTGGTGTTCACCGTCAAACACCTACAGGTGAGTTAAGTCTCTAATGTGCTAATGTTACCTGCTGAGGGCACATATCTTCATGCCAGGACAAAGGCTTCATGTGATTTATTTTTATTTACCTTTTTATTATGTCTTGTTATGAAGTACAGGCACAAAAAAGCAAACAGCAGCAGCAGAAATGGTAAATGGCCTGTATTTCATAGAGCACCTTCTAGAGTCCTGGAACCCCCCAAGGTGCTTCACCACACAATCAGTAATTCACCCATTCACACACACACATCCGCACGCTGGTGAGGATGAGCTACATTGTAGCCACAGCTGCCCTGGGGCGCGCTGACAGAGGTAGGGCTGCCGAGCACTGGCGCCATTGGTCCCTCCGACCACCACCAGCAGGCATGGGGTCAACAAGATGGCACGCAAATATTAGGGTTATCATGTGAGTGAGTGAGTGAGTGAGTGAGTGAGTGAGTGAGTGAGTGAGTGAGTGAGTGACAATAGAGCTAGACAGCATTAGAAAAGTCATTGTTATCATCAAACTCTTATAGATGCTGTTTATTGTAATTTCCTGTTCAGTTAATACAATAATTATTATGGATCTATAACAGGTCTTTACAAAAGTGGTGTAATAATACACACTTTTGTTATTTACATGCATTTACATTTCTTTAATGTATGTTTGTAAAATTTCTATTTGTAATTTTTCTATTTACGAAGCCATTTTTAGAGGCATTTTAAAAATATTGGCTCACTAATTGGCAAAAAAAAAAAACATTGTTTTTATGTTTATAGAAAACTTCAAAAATAAAAAGCACAGCAAATAAAAACTGCTCAGGAAAATGGAAATTAAAAGAGTTCAACAAACCCAAGACTGACTATTCAGTGAATTTCTCTTAATCATGTTGCTTTTTGAAAATGTCATTCATTTGGATACTGTGTGTGTTTGCATGTGTGTGTGTGTGTGTGTGTGTGTGTGTGTGTGTATGTGTGTGTGTGTGTGTGTGTGTGTGTGTGTGTGTTTGCATGTGTCTGCGTGTGTGTGTGTGTGTGTGTGTGTGTACGTGCGTATGTCCGTGTGTGTGTGTACGCGCGTATGTCCGTGTGTGCATGTGTGTGTGTGTGTGTGTGTGTGTGTGTGTGTGTGTGTTTGCGTATGTCCGTATGTGTGTGTGTGTGTGTGTACGTGTATGTCCGTGTGTGCATGTGTGTGTGTGTGTTTGTGTGTGTGTGTTTGCGTATGTCCGTATGTGTGTGTGTGTGTACGTGTATGTCCGTGTGTGCATGTGTGCATGTGTGTGTGTGTGTGTGTGTGTGTGTGTACGTGTATGTCCGTGTGTGCATGTGTGCATGTGTGTGTGTGTGTGTGTGTGTGTGTGTGTGTGTGTGTGTGTGCATGTGTGTGTGTGTGTGTGTACGTGCATATGTCCGTGTGTGCATGTGTGTGTGTGTGTGTGTGTACGTGCGTATGTCCGTGTGTGCATGTGTGTGTGTGTGTGTGTGTGTGTGTGTGTGTGTGTGTGTGTGTGTGTGTGTGTGTGTGTGTTGTGTGCGTGCGTGTGTGTGTGTGTGTATGTGCGTATGTCCGTGTGTGCATGTGTGTGTGTGTGTGTGTGTGTGCGTGTGTGTGTGTGTGTGTGTGTGTGTGTGTGTGTGTGTTTGTTTGCATGTGTGTGCATGTGTGTGTGTGTGTGTGTGTGTGTGTGTGTGTGTGTGTGTGTGTGTGTGTGTGTGTGTGTGTGTGTGTGTGTGTGTGTGCGTATGTCCGTGTGTGTGTGTGTGTGTTTGCATGTGTGTGTGTGTTTGCATGTGTGTGTGTGTGTGTTTGTTGCTTTATATTTCTAACCCAATTTAGATGTTTATATTTAATTTTATCATATTTACAGAAACTGGCATCAAAGCTGACTGCTGCCAGGTGATCTGAATCTGTGTCTGGTTTGCAAACAGCTGTTATTATCATAGCTATTGCAATGGTAAAGGGTAAATAGCCCGGTTCCACAACCCCCCAAGGCACCTTACAACGTATCATACACACATGCTGGTTGTGATGAGGCTACAATATAGCAAGATGATCGTGTTTAGCAACAGTTCCCTTTAAAAATCTAAGTAAATATGTCACTCCTTCAACATGTGTGCATGTCATTGTTAATGAACAGATCATGAATATTGATGCACAGAAATAAAGCTGCTGATTACAAAAAAAAACTTTTCCTGAAAACAGAAATCGAACCTCTCACAGGAAACTCCAGTGGTCCCTGGACACTCGCTCCCTTTTAATTCTCCAATTAATGCAGTCCTACTTCTGCAGCACCGGAGCATCCTTCGCTCAGCATCACGCCCGAGTCTCACCACAGTATTTATAGCCCATATTTACAGTCAGCAGCCTGATTACTTCACACCTTGTAAAAAGATCACAACAGTCAGTAGTGTACCCCCACCCCCACCCCACCACACACACACACACACACACACATACTCATTCAAAAATAGAAATATGATTGCTGAACAATGGAGAGCACATTCTTTCAAATCGTTATTATTATTATTATTATTATTATTAATGTTGTTGTTGTTGTATTAATGGAATAGTTATGGGCGCATACCTACTTTCAGGACTTACACGATCTGTATGCTTCGCTGTTGCTCAGTACGGTGAAACCCCCCCGGTTGTTTTCATAAGCACTGAAACAGAAATGACTCATCCTTGTTTTGAGTCTGAAAAGAAGAAACTTCTTGAACTTTAATGATGTCATGTGTAGAGGCTTTACTCTTTTAGGGAAAAGGGTACGTAAGCGATGAAACTCCACAGTGACCCACACTGGACAGAAACTCAAAGCTGACTCAGATCAAGTCCCACAGAAACGCTGGTGATGAATACGTACGTGTCACTGATAGAGGCATGAGTCGTTTTAAAGGTTCTGATGGAGAGGATGCAGAGGTAATTTGTTCTGCTTCTGGTCTCAGTTCTGTGTGTGTGTGGCATCAATTTGTGTCCAAAATGCTTTCTAGCAGACGCACACACTCTTTCAGTAAATCCTGTGGTTTTTAAAGCACAATTCTCAGTCTGGTCAAACAGCTCAGTTCAAACTTAGGCCCTGTCCACACGTAGCCGGGGATCTGCCAAAACGTAGATATTTTTCTACGTTTCGGCCTGTCATCCACACGAAAACGGAGTTTTTTCACACGAAAACGGATCTTTTTAAAAACTCCGGCCAAAGTGAAGATCTGCGTTTTCTCCGTTTTGGGTGTCTGCGTGTGGACAGACAAAACCGGAGTTTTAAGGTCCGCAGCGTCACTTTCCGCGACAAAAAACATGCTGACATCACGTGTGCGACCTGTGTTTACACTAGCCGGCAGCATGGATGCCCTCAGAGCTGCGCTCGCTTTATCAACTGTCCAAGCGCTTTCTGCTTGTTTGTTTTTGCAAGCGGAATTACTGCTCCTTGTGGAAGACCACAGACGAAGGACGAGGTTAAGAACGGGGGAAGTACTGCCGCCTACAGGTCTGGCATGTCCTTAACAACGTATTTATCCGGTACGTGTGGACAGAGTTTTGTTTTTAAACGGGGTGGTGTGGATGCAAGTTTTTGGAGGGGCAGATATTCGTTTAAAAAAAAAAACTGTTACGTGTGGACTAGGCCTTAGTTGCAAAAATGTAGTTTGGAATGATGATTATGTCAGAAATAACGTGCGTGAGCTGAATCATACAAATGTGCAAATCTTTTCAGCATGAATTCATTTCCTTTGGTGTAAATTTAACACAGGACCCAGACATCATGCGTGTGACGCTGTCTGTCACGCTCTTGCAGGAAACTCTGCTTGCACAAATCAAACCACACATTTTTGACAGTTTGGAGGCAGATACTGAAGAATTCACTGGCCCACACATAACTGGTCACTTTCAGGTCAGGCCCACCCACCCACACCTTGACTGACAGCTGATTTGACCAAAAGATGGAGATGGAATACTTTATAAAGATGCAAACAGATCAAGATTCACAAATGATGCTGAGAAATGGATTTTTAATTACTGTGCACTAAAGTAGATTCTTGGCATTAACACAATTACAGGTGTGTATGTCAGTCAGACTCTAATTACAAATTCAGTTCTGGATGTTTCTAGCTTTACTTTAAGGTTTTGCTGAACTCAAGATATAAAAGATGAAAGATGTTATCCAGCAGTACTTTTTCTTTTGGAAGTTTTCCGTCTCGATTCTTTCTAATGAATGTATAAAAATCTAGGGAATGTCATTTTTTGGATGGTCTGAAGAAAACTTTAAAATGTGCTATAACAGACTGAATTCCATATTGTCTCTCCTTGGATGGTCAGCACCGTGCCTTCGTTCTGTTTCCTGCTCAACAAGCACCCAGTTGGTCACCCAGCTTGTTGGCAGCAGAAGAATCCTCGCCTGCTCTTTTCAAGAGCAACTTTCTAAAGCTAACAAACAAATCCTCAGTTTACACGACACAAGCCACTCCTGGGCTGCAGAGCGCAAACAGACAACAAGAAGAAGAAGAAGAAGAAGAAGAAGAAGAAGAAGAAGAAGAAGAAGAAGAAGAAGAAGAAGAAGAAGAAGAAGAAGAAGAAGAAGAAGAAGAACGGATGCAGTGCTGTCACCTCCTGCCTCAGCTCCATGTTTATTTGTGTCATCACTTTTGCATTCTGTGTGTGTGTGTGTGTGTGTGTGTGTGTGTGTGTGTGTGTGTGTGTGTGCGTGTGTGTGCTCCCTCTCTGTATTACTTCCTTTCCATCCTTTTTTCTCACATTTTTTGGCTCTCCGTGTTTCCATCTCCCACCTCCTCACGGACAAATGTGTATTCTCGGCCAGCGTGTTCCCCTGCTCCCTGCCCCCCGATGCTTTTTGTCTCTCAGCTTCGTCCAGTCTGTCTGGGTTTTCTCTTGATTGCAATCTCTCTATCTCTCTTTCTCTCTCTCTCTGCAGCATTCGGAAAAGAATTCCAATCCCAACTGCTCTTTCTGGAGCTACTCCAAGCGCACCATGACGGGATTCTGGTCCACACAAGACTGCCGACTGCTAGCCACCAATCGCACACACACCAGCTGCTCCTGCACCCACCTCACCAGCTTTGCGGTGCTCATGGCCCACGTGGAGGTCAAGGTATGATTTTTATTTAATTTTTTTTTTTTCGCTGTGCCTGCCAGAAAACACGAGGTGGAAGCAAGAAGTCAATTATTTATCATTTCATTACTGATGGCTGGCAAAACATTCTGAGATTCAAGGAAGGAAAAGAGGCGCGACGTACATCTGTGGAACAGATTAAACATCTCCGCCGTCTGATCCAACTTGGCAGGGAGCATTTTTACAATTGATTTGTTAAGCCAGATGATGACATTGAGCTGACAAAATATTATGTAATACTAACAATGGCATCTCTGAGTTCTGGTCTGCTAGAAAAAAATGATAATGAAAAAATCTCACAGAACAAGTCTCCAGATCACATTTTGCTGTAAAAGTGTTATTTGATTGGAAGGTGAGAGCATTTATTTGGATATCCATGAGCTCTTGTGGGTGGTAGATAAAAGCATTACTGTCCTGCGCTGTGTGGGATAAGCACTTTTCATCTCCCTCTTTTGTTACGCTCTTCTCTTCCACAAACTGAGCTCTTGTAACTCTGAATACTGCGCGACATCCATTGTCTCCCTCTGGGCCAGAGGACGTGTGTTACATCTGAGGAGGTCATGGTCAGAGCGGGCTTGGCAGCTCTTTGTGAACACTGTGTGAGGTTCTGAGTAGTAGATCCATCACAGCAGTGTTATGTTGAACATTGCTCTGCCTGCCAGCGTGCAGGACACTGATGGATAGAGCTAGCACACCTGTGCAACGCAGCGTAACACTGTGGCCCTGAACGCTCAGCAACACATAGCGAGACTCACATCCGTCAGGGGCAGCGGCGGTGCAAAGATAACGGCTTGTCCGCCGGCGTCTTTCATCTTATGTGGACATGACTCGTGTATGTTTTGAGCAAAGCAAGGTTAAGCACATCTGTAGCAGTGGTACACTAAAGTGCTACGGGATGGTTTTCCTTTTGTTTTGACTTCTCCGTTCTCCTCTACAGAAATCAGACAGCATGCCCAACATGCTCCGGGATGTCATCACGTGGGTGGGGATCCTGTTGTCGCTGGTTTGCCTGCTCATCTGCATCTTCACCTTCTGCTTCTTCAGAGGGCTGCAGAGCGACCGCAACACCATTCACAAGAACCTCTGCATTAGCCTGTTCATCGCCGAGTCGCTGTTTCTGGTCGGGATCAACAAGACCGATCAGCCGGTAAGAACGCCGTGTGTACAAACACGTTCCCCCGACTAAAAGCAAGGACAATCCCATGCTTGGTGGAGTAGAAAATAATACAACAGAGACGAATAAAATGGGAAATGAAAGCCTTATGTCAGCTTAAAGCAATGGCTTAAACTTCACATCCAAAGGCTCAAATGTGATTGCTAGGAACACCTCATCATAAACAAATCCCTTCCATTAAATTTGCTCACAAGTTATGACGCTAACAGAAAGGTGTTGTTGTTTTTTTTTTTTTGTTAGAAATGTTAAAGGTATAGCAGAGGATGTTTTCTTCCAGGTGGATCATCTGAACCATTGGTCCGCATAACTGTCAATCATTCTGGAGAACCACTCATGAAAGGCCCTCGTATTACCTGCTCGTTGCTGCGCATTCTGTTAGCTAGCCTTCATTCCTCTCCGTTCGCTCACCGGGTTCTTTTTGAGATGGCTGAGAGTCGCAAGAGAAATGTGTCTGAAGTCTATAATAGGAGGAGAAGGGCCTCCGAAGTGAGAAATAAGACCAGAGTTTTTTAGGAGACTCTTTTGAAAGCAAAGGTTGAGCTCCCCACAGACGCCTCGACTTCTGGTTTTATGCTCGACAGGAAAGCTATTGGGAAAAATTCATTTCAGATTACTGCTAGAAGAAGTTAGCTGCAAGGTTGGCAACTACTTGTGAACAGAGCGTGCACGAGGATAACTAGCCGCTCTCTTTCATACGCATTTTTTTTTCACAAAGTGGAGAGGGCGTTTTTTTCCTGAAATTCAGAAACATCCTCCGCATTACCTTTAACTTGAACTTGATTGCCTTAACTTTGCCATTTAACACGATGTCTTTGTTTTGACCCAAGAATAAACATTTTAACGATGAATCATTAAAAGAGTTGAGATGACTAGAGACTTAAATGAGCTACCTAAACCTCGGCAGAGAAAATGTGGTCGTCTGACACGGTCACTGGGATATTGTTGATCAAAATGGTGCCCATGCTCCTTTTGTTTGGCTCAGTTTGGCTAAACTTGACTCAGCTCAGCAGTAGGGTGGTTTTCCAAGTCAAACTTGGCTATGACTAGGGATGGGTACCTTTGACATTTGAATCGATCCGGTATTAATTCCCGGTACCTACGAATCGATACCGGTACTTAACGGTACCAATTTTCGATACTTTTGAGGGTTTATTATTTTAATTCTCTTTTATAATTAAATATATATTTTTCTCAATATATAACAATATTTGATAAATATCACGATAAATAACATTCAACTGTTTGTATTTTAACATCGTCCTTGTAGTTTTATAAGCTGATAATTAAACTGAAGCAAACATTTTTACCGTGAACTAAATTTACTGTGTATCTTCATTCCTTTTGCCGTCTTTTTTCATTTGATTTTTCCTACTGGGAAGTTAGAATTTCCGAGGAGAAAGCGAACGCACCATTAGCTGATAGCAATGGTAGCAATGGAAGCTAACATACCAAGCTAACATTATCTTAAACAGTTTATTTAGCTGCTGGAGCAGATTAAAACGATGATGCCTCACACTTAGATTGTCGTCACTGGTTTCGTCTTCACCCGTCACATTTAGTAAAGTGAAGCCAAACTTTAGAGCGCGCTCTTCTAGTCAGAAATTCAGAGTTCCGAGGAGAAAGCGAACGCACCATTAGTGAAACGGAAGCTAACATATCAAGCTAATTATATTTACCTACCGGAGCAGATTAAGATGAGGATGTCTCACTTAGATCGTTGTCGCTGGTTTCATCATCATCCAGTTACCCATCACATTTAGTGAAGTGGACCCAAGCTTTAGCGTGCGTTCTTTCTACCATGCTGCTCTGTTTACAGTTGGCTCGCAGCGAGCAACGACATAACGCTCTTGCGCATGCGCAGCTGTCTTGGCAAGTTCTCGTTATGAAGGACGGGTACCGAAACGAGGCACCGTTTGAAATGAAGTGAATCGGTGCTCGGTCGGTACTATGGAATTCGGTCGGTACCTTAAAAAGTACCGAATTCAGTACCCATCCCTAGCTATGACTCTAGTAGGTGCACTCGTCATAGTGTTCAAGGGTGGCAAATTCAGGGGGCATTAGCGATATTTACTCAATGCAAAAGTCGCTGTTTTTTTGTCACACTGCAAACTCAGAAACAGCTGCAGGCAGCAGGCAGACATCTCTTGAGCAACCGGTGACTCCGGCCACTAATCAATCAGCGACTGACAGTTGCTGACAATGTGTTTTCGGTTAGAATTGCAATGAACCACATCGAACCAAGTTGGGGGAAATTATGGACCCATGCTGTCCAACTGAACCCTTTCCAGTCACACTGAGATGGGCTGTTGGAAAAGGGGCATCAAAGTCATTCTTTCCCAACCATTTTCCTCAGAGCCCCTCTTCTCACAAAGACAGAAGAACTAATTGACTGTTTTTGTGTTCTTGTTGAAATAATAATTTAAATCATCAGACCCAAATATGAACAGCCCATAGCCCTGCATGCAGTAAATATGGCTGCGACATGTGTTAGCATGTGTATCAGTTCTAACGCCCTTACTCATCTGGAGCTGACAGAATTATTTCTGCTAATGCTGAATTAAAATCTGTCAAATTTCAGTGCTGTAAAAGTTGGAGGTTTGCTCCTGGTGGCTTTAAGCACATCAAAGATCTGCTTTATTTAGAACCACATATATGTATTTCTCAGTCAAACACACATGAAAAATTCATTTATTTCACATGTGGGGAAACATTTTTTATTTGGGCAACATTTGCCGACAGTGCGTATGTAGTCAGGGTGTGGTGGACTACAGAGTCTTGACTTGAAGGGGTGATGGTAAAGTACGCATTCTGGACAGAGAAGATGGTTTTAGATGTGAGTAAAGAAAGCCATCTCTGTCAAATGGGGAAAACGTACATTTAAAAAAGGAGGAGGCCTCCAGCACCTACAATGCAGCTCTAAACCTAATTCATTAACTCATTCACTGCCATTGACGACAAACGTCATTTTAAATCCAACCGTTCACTGCCAATAATGACTAAACTCATCCGCATACGTCACACGTCACGTGATCAGGAAGCAGAACATCCATGTGTTAGGAGATCGTTTTGGGCCGCTGCTGTAAGAAAAGTGCCCGGAAAAGCTTCTGCTGATTGCAATTCAACAACAGATTATGAAAGAGTGGATAATGCTCAAAACGTACCGATTCTTCCTGATTTAAGAGGTGAGTCTCCTCTTTGTTTTGGTAGTTTGGGCGTTGAGATCATCTTAGCGTCTGATATTCTGTGACTCTTAAAAAACAGTGAAAACGCTGAAAAACGCTGGCAGCGAAGGGCTTTTCTGATCAAGAAGCGGCTGGCAGTGAATTAGTTAACAGTTTCAGTCTAGGTCATGCCCTCCTGCATCTACCCAAAACAGCCATTCTAACACAATACGACCAAACAACGTTAACGACTAAGCAGAGTGATGGGGAGGAAGGGTATTCATAAGTAGTTTCCGCCCATTGAGCAACAAAAGACAGATACAGATTATAAGCTCGTATTTTAGTCAGCATTGACAAAGCTCCTTGGACGGGAAGCAAAATGTCTTCAAGAAACCAAAGAAGTCCAGTTGCCTTCATTTGAAGTCTTTGGATTAGCATGACCTGGATGATTGAGAAGCTTCACCAGCTTTGAGCCTGTTGTTGATGGGCCGCTGTTGGTATGAAGCTGAAGCATGTCAACTAGGGATGGGTACCTTTGACATTTGAATCGATCCGGTACTAATTCCCGGTACTTAGGAATCGATACCGGTACTTAACGGTACCAATTTTCGATACTTTTGAGTGTTTATTATTTTAATTCTCTTTTATAATTAGATATATATTTTTCTCAATATATAACCATATTTGATAAATATCACGATAAATAACATTCAACTGTTTGTATTTTAACATCGTCCTTGTAGTTTTATAAGCTGATAATTAAACTGAAGCAAACATCTTTACTGTGAACTAAATTTACTGTGTATCTTCATTCCTTTTGCCGTCCTTTTTCATTTGATTTTTCCTACTGGGAAGTTAGAATTTCCGAGGAGAAAGCGAACGCACCATTAGCTGATAACAATGGTGGCATAGGAAGCTAAAATATCAAGCTAACGTTATCTTAAACAGTTTATTTAGCTGCTGGAGCAGATTAAAACGATGATGCCTCACACTTAGATCGTTGTCACTGGTTTCATCTTCACCCAATCACCCGTCACATTTAGTAAAGTGAAGCCAAACTTTAGAGCGCGTTCATGTTCTTCTAGTCGGAATTTCGGAGTTTCGAGGAGAAAGCGAACGCACCATTAGTGAAACGGAAGCTAACAAATCAAGCTAACGTTATCTTAAACATTTTATTTACCTACCGGAGCAGATTAAGATGAGGATGTCTCACTTAGATTGTTGTCGCTGGTTTCATCATCACCCAGTTACCCATCACATTTAGTGAAGTGGACCCAAGCTTTAGCTTTTGTTCTTTCTACCGTGCTGCTCTGTTTACAACTCACTCGCAGCGACCGATGACTTAACGCTCTTGCGCATGCGCAGCTGTCTAGGCAAGTTCTCGTTGTGAAGGACGGGTACCGAAACGAGGCACCGTTTCAAATGAAGTGAATCGGTGCTTGGTCGGTACTATGGAATTCGGTCGGTACCTTAAAAAGTACCGAATTCGGTACCCATCCCTACGTTTGTTCATATGGGTGCCAGCTGTTTTCATTGCCACAGTTACATCCTGATCATGAACCGCTGACATAAAAATAATGCCAAGAGAATGACTGGCTTACAGCTTAGTTTTGACTCACCCCGCTGACTTACACTAAACAACACACATCATTGGATTTTGACCACATCAGTGCTATTCTTTAGGTCAGGGGTGTCAAACTCATTTTAGCTCAGGGGCCACATTGAGGAAAGTTAGTCCCAGTGGGCCGGACCGGTAAATTTAAAAAAAAACTTCAGATTGTTTTCTTTGTTTTAATACAATCAACATAAAAC